TCTCGATATCACTGGAGTTTAAAGTTTAAGTGCCCAAGATGTCTTAACCCTCTGTCCCGAAACCCGATAAACGATATGAAGATGCTCGTGATCGCTGGCTCCCATTCCTAATTTTTCTACTACCAAGTCTTAAACTCTTAAACAAACTCTACCCTCAACCTCCCCCAGACCTCAACACCCAAGTCCCGAAGGGCCCACAACCCCCAAGCCCTCCAAAGCCCAAAACGGCTGAAGCACCGATTGTTTCGGTCCTCGAAGAGGCCACCGAGGTCGGCCAAAGCAAGGACGGAGGCGCGGAAGCACTCCGGCATCGCGAGGTGGTATTCGCCTGGAAGAGCTGAACTACGGTTGGGGGCCTTCTTTGAATCGGTGCTACGGTACCATGATAGTAATCGGGGGTGGGGGGTTGGGGTTGTGGTTTAGGTGTTAAGGTCGCGGGGTTTGCAATTTTTGGGGTGCAGACCTTAGAGGGTTTCAGGTGTAGATTTGCGGGGGTGGGGGGAGGGTCTGATGTTTACGGGGGGCTTGTTTTGAAGGCTTGAAGGTGTGGGGGTTTGTGCTAGCTTCTGAAATTTTCGGATTTCCACTTCAGGGACCTTTGCAACAGGGATCCTACCATTTGTGGGTGCGCATTATCATTGACGAGCCGGACAGCTACCAGGGCGTAGGGCTTTGTGGTTTGGAGGCTTAAGTTTGAAGGTCGAGTGTTGTGGCTTCAACTCTGTGGCTTTCGTCTTGCGTCAATAGGTCCGGACTGCTGAGCAAATCAAGCTACTCCGTCCCCTGCCCTTCATCTCTCCTGCTCACTGCTTGCAGCTGTGGGACGCCGGGCAGCAGTGTGTAGCACGTCCAGGATCTCCACCTCTTGCTGCAGTGTGTGGGGTTTTCAATGCTTGAATTCTTGCTTTTGTCTCCTCCATAAGCTAGTGCTTTCTGGTTTTGAAAGTCCAGGAACCAAACTCTGCCATTGCTTTAGATCTGGCCGTGGGGTTTCGGCCTTTATGTTTTGAAACCCCTTCGCCTCAACCCAACTCCGCCAAATCCGTTCTCAATCGCGTAGCTGGCTGGAGTCGTACTACTCGTAGGTATGCCCAACTTTCTGCGCATGGCTAGTGCCACGCGAGGCAAAAATGTCCCAATTGAAATTTGATTTCCAGATCTATGGACCGCATGCTTAGTTTTTACAATACATATGAGCTTACGAGGACATCATGCCTCCTTCAGCCACGAGGCTCAAGACCAAGGATCATGCTGTCACGTTCTGAACCCTCAAGCCCTAAGCCCTATGCTGCCTTAAGCTGGCTGCGGCTGTACTATGAGCATGCATTGCTGTTGATTCGATCTTTATTGCAGAGCCAACTTCCAAGAACCCCATACTGCCGCCTTTCCATATCAAAAATCTCGCCATCAAGACACCTGCAATCATTTTCTCACAATACTCACAAGACTGGAATGAGGCACCTCGGTAAGCTTCGTGAGGGCTTCGCTTGATGCCTTGGCGCAGGATGTCGGCCGGAAAGTCTCTGGCTGGATGTCGGGACCGCTGCGAAACCACAGGGCTGAGGCTCTGTAAGCTCGGGGGGTATCCTAACGCTTTTTTTCAGTTAGTTGCCCTGAGTCCTTGTGGCTTGCAGTCCCGCCCCGCTTTCAGAAAGAATCTGCAATGGGATTGTGGGCAGTCGCACTTAGTCAGTACAACCGCAGAGGTGCGTAGGCTTGTCGGGAAGTCCAGAACCTCGACTGGCAAAATAAAGGCCACGCATATGCAGCAGCTGCCTTGACGTTTATCCCAATCACTGATGTGCACACACTTCCTGTCCAAACCTCAAGCTGTGATCTGCCGACCTCCGTTTAGAGACTGTGCCCAATCTTGAAGCTGCCGCAAGAATGCAACCCTTCCGCAATGATCAGGCAGCACCCCATATGTAAGGAGCCTCAGAATTCACTAGCAGCCAAAAACTCTGGGGAGCTTGCCAACTCTTTGCTGTCCATCAGCAGCTGCAGCCCCTCTTACAGGCTTGTTGCAAGTGGATGTGATTCTGGCATGACGTGAACTCTGCACCAACTCCCATATCAAAAAAGCTGTTTCGGTCATGTGAACTCGTCGGCTAGCCCAGGCTGTTGTTTTGCATCTCCGGAAACGCTTGTAGGGAGTGGAACGGAATACAGCACGAAACGGTTGCGACTGTTGCAAAAGGTGTGAAACCCCAAGAGACCCTGAACCAATACATAATTTCCGACAAAACTGCAGGCCGAGAGTGACTGCATTGTTCTGGATTCTAGGGGCCTCAAAGAGTGGAGCAAGATTTTGAAGCATCTCTTGTTGTACATAGTCTTAGGTTTCGGAAAGCGTATTGTTACTAAGTTAAACGCTATTCAGGATGCTTCGGACGCATATGACTTCCTTTGATCAAGGACCCTCATGGGGTATATACTTTCCTGACCCCATGACCTTCAGAATTCCCGCAAAGCCGACAACCGTAGCCCTTGACTGCAAAACCATCGCTCAAGACGCTTCGAAGAGCCACCGGCCTTGGAGCTGTTTTAATCAAAACCAGACTTTAAAGCGAAAGCATCCTATGCAGGGGCGGCCTTGGAGGAGGTCATGAAGGAGTGCGGAGAGGGGCCGAGAGGCAGCGCCTTGCTTGAAGGCCGGTGGTCTCGGAAGTGCAGCTTTCGGAACCCAAGGAGCTGAACACCCCTATCGACTCCTATCTATCTATCCATCTATCTGTCTGTATCTCTATATGTACATATATATATATATGTATAAATAAAGAGATGTTTTGGGCTTAGGAGAGCTCAATACCCCTATGTAGAAAGGATCACCACAAGAGCACCAGACTTCCCAAGCCGGAAGCTCCAAAGCCTCTAACTCCGTGAGCTGGTTTTGGGTTTAGGCAGGATGAATACTAGTGACAGATTGGATTCAGTTTTGGACACTCAGAGATTCATGGTCTTTGGGGGGTCATGGGTCGTCTGGTTTTGTCTTTCTTGCACGGGCTCGCAATCGATGCCGGCAACCACGACTTGCAGCTAGGTTTCGGCCGAGATCTGAACGCAAGTGAAGAAAGAAGAGACACTCCAGAGCCGCGAATAATCCCGACACCGCATGATGTCGTGTAAACTGTTAACCTCTTCAACCTGAACAGGTGTATAAACATGAATCCACAGTCTCCCCACCCGCACCTCGGCTTTGCCTTCCGTGGACGTCAGGTTTATGCCCGGGCTGAGCTGAATCTGTGCCTGATTGTTTTGAGCTCTCGGGGCTGACGCTTCGTTGCTTGGGAACCTTGGCTCCAATTGCCAAGTACTTACACTCTCCCTCTCTAAACTCCTTCTTAAGGGAGTCGAGTAGTCAGGGATCTACATTATTCTCCACGGAGCTCGGTCTTTAGCGTCTTGCAGAGCACATGACGTCTTGAAGTATCCATCAGCCCTCCGCAGACCGCAAGACTTTGGAAGTTGCGAGGATTCGTAAACCTTGCCCCCGGGGATATTAACTCGACGAACTGTACACAGTAGGTTCTGTCTATTGTGACCTCGCAAGGCGTCCTCTTCGCTGTATCTAAGGGGGTCAGGGTGAAGGGCGTAGCTGAAGAAATCATGGGATATTGAAGATATGTAATACGCGATGTTGCTGCGCATATGACCTGCCATGATATCCTACTGATTGACACTGGTCCTTGAAGTGGGTTCTGGGGGCCACAAAACAACGCCTAACTTTTTGGTTGGTCATGAAGGAACCCAAATCTAGACAACAATCCAGAGTGCTGAATGTCCAAGACACACATGCGTCGCATGCAGTGTTCTGCAGGTGGAAGTAGCGCCGCAAGCCCTCTCGGCTAGTTGGGTTGGGGCTTCGGGTTTAGGGCAGTGTCACAGTCACAGTAGCATGATGCTATAAGTTTTCCGGGAAAGCACGGGACATCGGTTGTTTGAAAGAAGACATGAAACGCCAATTCGATTTCTTGAGCTGGGTGGTAGTGGGCAGGATTCGTGCTGCATGCGTGGGTTCAACTTTGAGAATACTTGGCCGTCTTTCTACTTTCATTAGGACCCTCTGCAAAAAAGTGTCCCCAAACTATAGCACATGGAATAAAACCAATCAGTCTTGTACAGGATGATATTCCTTCGTCCGCCTGCGGCTCCAGATTGAAACCACAATCTCTCGAAGCGGTAAACCCCAACTCCTACAAACCTGATCCTTACAACAAACCATGACAAACCCCAAAGCACCACGCCCCACAGACCCGCAAAGAACCGTCCCAAACCTTGAAGCTGCAAACCCGTGGGCAGATCTCATCGTCCGAACCCGCAACCTCAAGAACTTAATCCCTGAATGCAGTCCGCAAACCCAGAAGAATATGATTTTAAACCCTCAGCCCCGCGCCCAAAACCCCAGAGCGAAACACACCAAATCCGAGATTGCATTCCTGGGGCTCCAAACCATACAGTCGTAGACCCTCAAACCTGAAACCCCTCAAACCTTGAAAGAAACATGAACATCCGGCTCCGTCCTTCTCTACCCGGGACATGCATTGCTCACTGACCTGTCGGTGTTGGGGATTTGTTTTTTTTGAAGGGCCGGTCTTTGAGTAGGGTTTGGGGTTTACGGGGTCGAGCTGCTGGGGCTGTGAGGGATTTGGTGTTTAGGGAGTAAAGTCGGGGGATTGGGGGTTTACGGCTTGTGGTGGTGTCTGCAGGGTTTCGTGCTCAAGAACTTCTCGGAGGGACTGCGCTGTCTTCTTATGTTTACCGTGGGGAAACTCCGATAACAGTCTCCACAACCCATCTAACTAACTGTACCTTTCGGCGGTGCTCTGTAGAGCTTTAGGGCCGCAGAGGTTTGTGTCCTGCTGAGCAAATCCTAGCTGAGGTGCGGGCTTTAAATATGCTTTAAATTATAGTATAGGCGCATAATATCAACCGACCGCAGGTCTGATGAGGCTTAAGCGTCGGGGTCTGCTCTGTTCTCTGTCGATCAACGCCTTGTTGTGTCAAATGCAATACTGCAGTCGCTCGTACTCCGCCGCTCGGAGCTTCGTCCATTCAAACTCGGGCCCCTTGCTTCCCGGAGTCAAGGTCACTTGGCGCACCAAGCTTCCGTAGATTTCCTCGTTTGCTGCTTCTCCGAATTCACGAATCATGAGCCCAGTGAACGCGACATCCTCCGGAGTGTCAATCAGCCACTCTAACTCAGAATTCGTCTCAAAGTTTTGGTCCATGCGAAGATGCTCTGGCCAATATTTGTTCCCTAAGGATCCAGGCTTCACTACGAAAGAGGCCGGACGAACACGACACTCAAGAACAAGCTGTGCCCAATGGTTCCTCTCAATGTCAAGAAATTCTGCGTACACTGGAAAAGCAGCATACTCAATAGATGGACTGACGTAAATCTTGCAGCCGCTTTTGCTGTAAGCCTGGCCATGCGCAACACCAACACCTTCATCACCTGGCTTTCGGAGTCCACGAAGCATAATGGATGCGACATTTTGACAACTTGTCCCATGATATGCAATGCACCAACCTGAATACTCTTCGAAGTTCTCGATTGCAAGGGAGCATCTGAGCCATCCGCATGGCTTGAAGTATGGGTATCCTCCTCGTTGGCCATAGCAGGCAGGGCTGAAGGAGTACAGGCGGGTGAAATGTGGATCGAAAAGCAGCTTGCTCTTGATCGCTTCCAGGAGCTGGTCGAAGTAGCAATCCTCACGATGTTCCTCAAGCACCTTCATTAAGACTGTCATGAGCTCTGCATGTGCTTGCAACAAAGTCGGGCACTCGACAAGGGCTGATTTGACCTTTTCCAGTCGCGAGCTTCTGTTGCAGTAATACGACAAAACCCGGCTGAGAGAATCTCCTGCCTTCCAGTGGGAATGCTGCTTTGTCTCAATGAAATACTCGCCGTTGTTTCCGAGGTAGACGTGATTTAACGTGTAAGCCTCTGAGCTCTTCAGCCAGTCTGAAAGCCCATGTTCTGGTGGCAAGTGCCACTTCCACACACCGTTGTGGAAAAGCACCCACCAACCTGTGGGACGACCAAGCGCGAGATGCTTCACGTCCCGAGGACGCTTCGCCAGCAGCTCCTCTAATTCTTCTGGGAGGCCGTGCCAAAATGGCTCGCCATCCACGCGGTAAACAAAAAACGAGTTCTGTGGGCCGAAAGCAACCCAAGAGATCTGCATCTTGCCGTCCGCGTCCTTCGCGGCATGCAGCGCCGCAGCAAACAAATCGGACGAGTTGCCAAAAAAGGTTGACCGGTCTTGGTCATCTAGAAGTATGAACCACTCCCCATCCGGCCCTAATGCGACCTGCTCAATGGAGTCAGACCTCTCATCAAGGACAGTCGCCAATTCTCTTGGTATGCAACTCATGTGAGAAGACCATAGCCCGATTGGATCGTCAATTTTGAGGATCCAGGAAGATTCATCCTTGCCAAAAGCAACGATACTTGGCCAGGCCATGGCTGCCCAACCAGAGTCGGGTGCACTGAGAAAAAAAGGTAGGAGTCGACGAAACTTGAAGAAGCAGTTTAGGCCCATGGCAATCATATCCCTAACATAGTACGGGACCTGATATTTAGGGTACCCAAAAAGGGACCATTGTTTTGACAACTACCCATATGTCTCAGAGATCAGAGAGGCTCCTAGCACTTACAAGGCACAAGGGGGCTCAACCTGGAGAAAGCTTTCAGTGCCTTGAGCAAATACAACAGTGGCCAAGGCGATTTCCTAGGTGGTGCTTTTAAAGCCTTTGCAAAATATTAGCAAATAAGATCCTCTTAAACCCAAAAAGGGGAAATATGAAAAGTCACCCAAAGCCCTACCTAGTTTAACACAAGGTAAGGCTCCAGGTGCTCCTGGCTATCGGATCTGCAAATGATGCACCAGGAAAGGATTTATTCGGGAGAGCGACTCACTCACGTGGTGCTGCCCAAAGCATCAGCGGAAACTGTGCTGAGCCTTTGACCCTTCATGCTAACTTTTGTTGATCCCGCGACCACTTCTATACACCCTTAAGGAGGAACTTGAAAAAGGAACCTATGACCTGTCAGCCTTCGAGCGCTTTAGTTGCGGAAAACCCGTAGGAAACATTATTTGCGGGTTCGGGGCTTAGGGTTTCGACTTTTGCAGGACTTGGGATCAGTGAATCCACGACATGTGGCCCACTTCCCCTTGGTCCTGCTTTCATCGCAGAACAATGATGCTTGCTTCGGAAGCGCACGATGCATAGCAGCGACCGACTACAAGTGCGACACTTTTGAGGACCAATCCTAGACCCTAGCTAAACCTTGGCCTAATCACGACAGACAGGGGCCAGCTTCCCAAAGTTCAACAACCCAAACCAATTTCAACGCTCATGTCGGATGACGGCTGGCTTCACACATGATGAACTTCAAGTGTTGTGGAAATGCATTCCTTGTACGATGACCTACGGAAACCTTGTCAGCAACCAGAAAGATGCCTGCAACACTACATGGTGTCAGCTCAGCTCGAGGTGTTCACGAGTTACAGAGGCCGGGCGCGCTTTGCACAAGGAACGCTGCATTCAAGAGGCGAGGCTTCCTGAGATGGCAAGAGCTGCTCTCGAACGGAACTGCTGTCGCCACCATATTTGGAATGGCCCCAGGTAACGATGGATCCATCCGCCAAGATTGCCGCAAATGCGAGGTCCGAAGCCTGCACCTGCTGCACGTTCTTCAGTTGCCCTTGGACAGCATCGCTGTCACCGCCGTATTCGGCATGCCCCCAAGTTACGAGAGACCCATCTGCCAGTATGGCAGCAAAAGCATGCATGTTTGCTTGGATCTGCTGCACGTTCCGGAGCCGATTCTGCACAGAGCTGCTATCGCCACCTCAGGGTTCAGCACACGCATGTCTTGGGGCGAAACATAAGGGCCTGAACTATCAGACTAGCGATATCTTTAGATTAAGTGACGGAGGCTTTGGGGGACTGAAAAGGTGTATTATGATCAAGTCTTCTTTCGGCTCTAGGGCAGAGGGCTTGGGTTTGGAGCTCCACGCTTCTGGAGTCTAGGTGTAGAGCTGCGGGTTTAAGGTTAAGTTCACGGGCTTCAGGTTCAGAGGTTTGGGGTTTAGGGCTAAGTTCAAGGGATTTTCAGGGCTTCACGTTTGAAGTTTTGCGGCTTAGAGATTTGGGTTTATAGAGGCATTTTTGAAACGGCCACCAGAATCCGAAGCGCCCCAGGTCACAACTGAGCCATCGGGAAGCAAAGCAGCAAAGGCATTGTGCGAAGCTTGAACCTGAGGAGTCCAAGACTTTAAGAGAGCACCTAAACACACGCTACACAGTTATGACGCTTTGTTGAGGGTAGTACCCATTGAAGCGGTTCAAGACTGGCTGTTGGTGCTCTGTTGGCATCTTTGGCCCCTGAAACCTGCTGCACATTCTGCAGGCGATCCCGTACGAAGCGGCTGTCTCCACCATGACCGGCGCTCCCCCAGGTAACAACGGAGCCCTTCGCCAAAATCGCCGCAAATGCGAGGCGGGCCGCTTGGATCTGTTTTACGTCTCTTAGCTGGTCTTGGACGGCACTGCAATCACCACCGTACGCAGGATTTCCCCATGTAACGACCGAGCCATCCGCTAGAAGGGCAGCGAAGGCGTTCTGGCCCGCATGGACCTGCCTTACTTCCTGCAGCTCGTAGACAGCGCGGTCGCCAAGAGAACATCTGGCGCCCCAAGACACCATCGTGCCGTTTGCTAAAATCGCAGCGTAGGCAGACTGCGAAGCCTGGATCTGCTTCACGTTCTTCAGCTTGTCCTAGACAAGGCTTCCCCGGAGTGTACGAAGTTACACAGAGATGTAGAACCGTATGAGCTTGACATATATATATATATATATGTATATATATATATATATATATTTATGTATAGAGAGCAAAGGCAAGGGTAGGGAAGGTCATTAGTTACCGTAGTCACGACAAGAGGAGCCAAGATCCTGGAAAGCACTGCTGTCTCCCTGGCGCTCGCCCCAAGTTACGACAGAGCCATCCTCCAGAATTGCAGCAAAAGCATAGTGAGTGGCCTGAATCTGCCGCACCTTCCTAGGCTTCGAAACAAGATCACTTAATCTCACCCGTGCTGGGCCTCGTGAACCTCTTTTTATGACATCCGGCGAAACCGGGTTAACAAACAGCTAAGACCCCATCAGAACCCTATAAAAAAGCAGGATCTTAAACCCTTCTTGTATGGACCCTATAAAAGCCGGATCCGGGGCTCCGCAAGCGATCTTGGACAAGGTTGCTGTCACCCCCATAGTCAGCATTGCCCCAAGTGACGACAGATCCATCCTGTTCGGGCTTAGGGTGGTAGGGTTTTCGCGTTCTATACGGGTTTTGGGATTTTAGGCCTTGGGATTCTAGGACTGTTGGGCCACAAGGTTTACGCCCTCGCAACTCGGACTCAGCCAACATGGGGTTTAGGGTTTTGTGGTTTCGGGTTTATTTAGTGTCTACGGCCGAGGCTGCCACCAAAACAACAACGTCAAAGGTTACTTGCTCGGCTACCAAGCGTCCCCTAGAATGGCGGCAAAGGCATAACGAGTCGATTGGATTTCTTGAACATTCTTCAACAGATGCTGAACCGCCCGACTATCGCCGCCACAGAAGTTTGCTCCCCAGGTTACGACCGACCTGTCCGCCAATATGGCAGCAAAGGCATGCTGAGAAGCCTGCAGTTGCTGTACGTTCTTCAACCGGCTCTGTACGGCGCTGCTGTCGCCACCATAGGGTCGCTCACCCCAAGAAACCACGGAGCCATCCGGAAGGATGGCAGCAAAGGCAGAAATCGCCGCAGAAACAGCGACCTTTAGTCAGTGGCTCGGTCCATAGACCACACCAGTCTTAAACCCAATCTGTCTTTAAAGAAGAGGGGTTCACGTTTAACTCGCCCCGAAACCAGAGCGCCCACCTGTTTCTCAAAGCAGCGGCTCATATTTGCAGAAAAAGAACCACAGGCTTACCCGTTCTGCTGCTAAGGGGCAGGCCTCGCGGCCAGTGTCAAGACCTGGCCCTTCTCCAAACCCGCCGAGCCGACCGTCATACTTCCTGTGCTGTCATTTCACCCGGCTCCCTAGCCCTTGTTGAAAAGAAGGACTGCAATGCAATAAGCCGGATCCCTAAACTCCTAAACCCTAACACTTAAAGCGTTTGATGCTTTTTCCAAAGGAAAAGGATGCCCTGCCAGCCCCAGCTTCCATCCAGGGAGATCCCAGCTGCGCTGAGCAGCGAGCCACGAACGCCGAAGGCGACTTCCGCACGACGCTGGAGCTCAGAGACGGAGGTGTCATGGAGCACCTGAAAGGGTGTTTTGAGTAGAGGGTGGGAGAGCTCCTTAAGGATCTTAATAGTCATGACTTATTGTTATACAAGGTGTGATGAACCATAACAAACGCTGTCGCAACTAATCAAGGGTTTTCGTTGCCAGAGCAGTTGCCCACCTCGACTTCCACCCGTCGGCCGCTCATCAAGGCAACAGCTACAGAGACGGTCATGGCTCTGGATGAGATGTCTGGGCTTAGGGGGTAAGGGTTCAGGGTTTACGGATTCAATGTCTGGGGATGCTCGGAGATTGGAAAGTGCCTTCTTGGGACGATGTCTTGAACACGTGCATGCTTGCATAACTTTCGCAGCGGCACTTGCGAGCACCAGATGGTTGTGCAAAGTTCACAGACTCCTCACTGCACTCTTGTTTGGGCAGAAAATGCTAAGATCTGACTTTGACACATGCCTTGGTGTTCGCACCAATGCCGTCGAGTGCACAGCAAACCAGGTGTATAGTGCAAAATAACCTCCTTGCCCGGACTTCACGACTCAGGCCTTTAGAGACATCATATCATTCACTTTGTGCAAGCTTGCAGCTGGAAGAAAACACACACCCCCAAATGCTAAGGCCCAAATCGTGAGATCGTCAGACTCCGGCAGTCTCCTACCTCCGTCATCTCGGCCGTGGCAATAGGAGGCAAAGAGACCTCACATTACCACGACACGAAATCCGTGTTATCTACTATGCACTCCAATTAACTGTTCTGGTAACTAGATCTGAAGTTCCTTAACAAGAACCCAATCAGTGTTGCACCAAACCCCTCTCTTCTCTGAGCTCACTCTCTGCTAACGTGTCGATTTCAACAGTCCTCAAATTGCCTATACTTATATTTCTAGAACAGAAACAAGACTTATCCCAAATTGGTACCCAGGCTGCTTATGAAGCATGAACCTCTCTGTCTGGTATTCCAACATGTCCGGAAGGGTGGCAAAGGAGCCACGCCCAAACATCGGCTGTGGGCTGTGGCAATCAGGCTCAAGTGCGGTCTAATTTCTATGGAATCCACGGGCGCATTAGCCTGCATGCCTTAGAACCTTATTGAAATTATTCATTCTCCTGTATCAGGAAAGGTGGCTCCAGTAGTTTCTTGCTGGCCCCCGTCGTCTAAGCAGTGATCTCCTGCTTCTTGCCCGACTGAAGATAACAGAACGAGTGTTAAACACGTGTTGGTGGAGTCACGTCTTGAACCTCACTTCGACGCCAGGATAGTTGAATATGAGCTCAGCCGAAGAACGTCCAACATCGCTCCGCGCATGTGCGAGGCTATGAAGCAGAGGATTCCTCCCCCCGTGGCAGTGTCTTATCTAGGGGCTTTAGGGCACGAGGGTTTAGGGAAGCTTGAACAAGTAGTTATCGGAAACCCCAAACCAATCCTAAATCCGTTAGACCCCTAAACCAAAGGAATCATTCAGAAACCCCTCCCTGCCGGTCCCTGGATGCCAACTGTATCGCCGTAGACGTGACCCTTGTCCGAAGTCCCACATTCCCCCAAACACAAAATTCGAAGTAGGGGGGTATACACGCAGCACCAAGTATTACATGGGGTTCTAGATGCTGCACTGAGTAGAGTGTTTTTGAGGATGTCAGCACAAGCTTTGCAGACGTCTACATTATGGTTGCGGCAGCCTTGTCCTCACCTCTCATCACACGCCCAAGAATTCCACTCGATGGCCGAGGTGCTAGGAAGTTGGCCACCGAAGCCAACGTCGAGGTTGCCTGGGATCATCTAATTCAGGGGTCGGAGGAACGAGTAATCATACTCTGTCTTGGGGGTCCGTAATATAATGATATTGCAATGTGCCCCAAAAGACTATTCAAACTACAAAGGCCTCTATTAATGTCAACCTCCTATTAATAAACCCCCCCCTTCCCCCCCCCCCCCCCCTTGATTGATTTGGCGCCCGGGGTGGGGGGGATTGATTATTGAGGGGGGGGTCGGTCGTCGTAGTACAGTAGTATAGTATCACAATAGTACAGTAGTACAGTAGTATAGTACAGTAGCAGTGCAGTAGTAGCACAGCCTCTGAGTCCAGCTCTTCCGGCGGACAAGGCACGTTTGGTAAAGTACCAGCAATGAACAATGATCCTGCGGTCCTCTCCCTCCTCCTTTGAAAGCCGAAGCTTTCGCAAGCAAGGGCACGGCTGCTATAGGTAGGTTATTCCAATCAACGACTCTGCTCCCACAGCCTGCTTTTCTTTTGAATCCAGAGCTTTCCCAATGAAGGGCTTGGCTTGTAAAGCTTGCTGTCCTTTTCAAGGCCTTTAAAGGCACCACCAAAAGGCCCTCCCCGGCGGGAGTTTATAATTGAGGGGGTGTTTATAATTGCGAAGAACGGCCTTTGTTAGTACTCCATCAGGATGGATTGATTTTTGGCTCCGGGAATAAGGAACTTTATTAAGGAAGGCATGGTTTCTGAGGCCCTCTAAATCTGCGGTTTCGGAGTCCGGTGGCTTTGGAAGCTAAAGCTTTCCCAATGAAGGGCTTGGCTTCTGAAGCAAAAGGCCCTCCCCGGCGGGAGTTTATAATTGAGGGGGGTTTATAATTGCGAAGAACGGCCTTTGTTAGTACTCCATCAGGATGGATTGATTTTTGGCTCCGGGAATAAGGAATTTTATTAAGGAAGGCATGGTTTCTGAGGCCCTCTAAATCTGAGTAGCTGCAGTTTCTCTCTCTTTGCAGACCTGAAGCAGTCGTAGTAGTTGCAGTTTCTCTCTTTCTGCAGACTTCAAGCAGTCTTAGTAGCTGCAGTTTCTCTCTCTCTTGCAGACCTCAAGCTATCGCAGTAGCTGCAGTTTCTCTCTCTCTGCAGTCCTCAAGCTCTCGCAGTAGCTGCAGTTTCTCTCCTTTTCTCTCTCTCACACAACAACACACAACAAGAAGTATCTAATTTCGGGGATTTTGGGCCGGAAGGTTTTGTAATTGAGGGGGGGTTTATAATTGAGTTCCGGGGGTGGGGTTTTGTAATTGAGGGGGGATTTATAAAAAGTAGGTTAACATTATCTACGACGGACATAGCTTCGGTTTTTCAGCAACGGTTTCGAACCTCGATCCTAGCTTAGGTCCGATCAGGGCGGTCGATTCGGGGTAGAAGTTCTCGAGTACCCCCCGGAACCAGCAGCCTACCCTTCTTTCTTTTCAACAGCAAACGGAAGAAAACGGCTTCATAAAAATACCATGGTGAGACCTACGACCCTGCACCACCTCACTCTGCAGACACCCGTACTGCGGGCCTGAGTAGATCCCTCGAGAAACCATAAGCCGATTGCAGCACCTGTGCCTTACTTCCACTGGCGCTGGCTGGCATGTTTCGAGCATTGTACGCAGCTTTTGCCGGGATTTGGAGTGCTGTAGGGTTGATAAAGGGTTAGGCTGCGTTCAATCCTTCATTATGGGATGTGCAAGCACAGGCAAGGTTTCCAAGAAAAGCTTCGACTGCATGGTCACCATTCCTTGGGCTTCCTGAACATGGTTCTACTACAACTTACCCCTAAACCCCTCTTCTACGTACCGACTTCGGTCCCTTACCTTATAAACCCTACTACACCCTGAAGAAGTATAAGTCCAGGGGTGCTTGAAACCGCTGAGAAGCTTGAATCCGCAAGCAACCACCAGGTAAACAGAGAGCCATTGGAGGTGCATTCCATTCTCATTGTACTAGTATAAGGCAGGGGTTGCCGATACAACACTGGTACTCCGAAAGGACACCACACAAATATGAAGCCCACTTCCGGAAGTACCAAGCCGTCAACGCCCTAGCTAGCCTCCATCATAGCTGAAATCACATCTAAGGATCGGACAGGTTCTAGCAGAGGCTAGCAAGGGGCATTAGCAACTACAGTAGCTTTTGGGTGTACATTCAGGCACAAGCAATATTCGACCCTCACACTCGCTATGAGGAACAAGCAATATAAAGGCTTACCCCCATGGACTAGTATTGTTCACGATGTCGGCCCTAAGCCCTAAACACTTCTGGCATCCTGTCCAAGCCACAGCTTCGGCGGCTGCCTCGCTGATGGCCTCAGGATCCAGAAAAGCTTGGCTCTCGCGGGATGTGTTCTGGATTTCGGGTTTTCGGGGCCCCTTTCAAGGGATCTAGAAGGGCGTTATCAGGCATCTTTCAGGGTTAGGGGGTTCTTCTTCCCGGGTTTAAAGTCTTTTGGGGCTCTTCGGCTCGAGGGTTTAAGGCTTCACGAGGGGGCACTGTGTAAGACACTAACATCGCCTGGCAATCCCCATAGAATCGTATTGCGATTTCTTGTATAACAAACCTGGAAGCATCTCGAAAACGCTTTCTGTTTATACGCATCAGATCCTACCGTACTTCCGCAGCCCGAATTTAGTGCTTGCACTCAAGTCCTTGCACTCAACTCTTCAAAGCTCCACATTGAGATCCCGAATCCCTGCGTGAAGGGTTAAGAGCTAATTAAGGGACCAACAAGGGCAATAAGACTGTTCTGAATTTTGCCGACCCCAATATTGGATTTAAGTCAGGCTTGCCCCAGAACAGGAATGCGAAACTAAATGGGTGCACCAACAATTGGCCCCGAGCCAACCGTGCATCACGACACCAGTCGAGCCTTCGTGGAGGTTGTTGGCGATGCCTCTCCAAGCTCGTTGCCAGCCTTGCCGACATTTATCAGGCTAGGGCTATTACAGGCCTGGGATGAAAGCCTACTTGGCAGGGAAGGCCAGGTCCATGAAGGCATCTTGCTAGCAAAACACGGTTCCGCGCCCCTTGCGCAAACGGATTTGGCTCCAATTCTTGCCAAGCCATGTCTCCCAACCGCATATTGCGGAACACTTCTGCACCTTCTGCCACGTCATTTCAACAGTTTCTGGCCCCAAACCCTTAAAGGCTCAGTCTTTCGAGACTGGGTGCCCTGAAAAGGTTGACGTGTCGCAGGGGCTGGGAAAACCGTGCTACCGCTGACGGACTAAATCTACCAGTAGGAACTCATCCACGTTCACCCTTTTATGCGAAGCCCGAAACCCATTTGGGATCTTCCGAAAATAGGGGACCCTAATCGTAGCACCCTGCATAGTAGGATCGTTATTGGACCCCAAAATAACGTACCCCTAATTTTTCATGAAGGCTGCAACTCCCCCCCTCCAGACTCCCCCCCCTTTTCTAGCTAGTGCGATTCCTTGAACCCCTTGCTTCACAATTCATCTTTTCCGCAGCCATGCTTCAGGGGCTGCACAGCGATATCCAGAAATGAGTTGCATAACCACGCAGCACCCCAAACGTATCCAAGATGGTTGTTTTACACTGGGCCGGAGGCCTGACCTGCAGAATCAGGGATTTCGGTCGGGCAGGACGAACAACATTGCCCGGGACTAGGACATGCCCTGGCTTAGCCAGAGACTCATTTTCGTTTCGCGCTGCGGCACGAGCCCAACGCCCTTCCTTCGGAGGAACGCATCTCAATGGGAGGCATGCTTGGTTGAGAAGTGCGAAGACTGGGAGCCTGTGTCGGGCTCAGGGTGGGTCGAGGGTGCTGGGTGCCAAACTGGCAGGGTGGAAGGGGGGGGAGTCCAAATTGCTGGCAGGGACAGTGTTCTGGACTCCCCCCCCCTGTTTGGCCAAAACAGGGGGGGGAGTCCAGAACACTGTCCCTGCCACCAATTTGGACTCCCCCCCCCACCCCCTGCTTTTCGCACAAAGAACCTCACCGACCTCAAAAAGCAGCAAACATACCGCTCTGCCTCTAAAGTCGGAAAATCATCTCTACCGTTTGCGTGCGCCGGTGGAATGTGCACAGCCGATCGAAAAGTACGATGTACAGCCTGCATGTGTTCAGCATGTTTGCACCTGCCGCGTGAACGGAAATGGTGGCAAGCTGGCATCTGGATCTGGAGACATCTGGTGTGCAGAGTGAACAGACTCGTGATGATTTTCGTTTGCAGGCGTAGTGTCGAAAGTCTGAAATACAATCAGAACTCGCCAAAAACATCCGAGACTGCTTTGATTGATGCAGGTCCAACTTATGCACTTTTGTGCGGCAGTGCTTGTCCACAATACTTAAGCTTGATTTTAAGCCTAATTAAGCCTAATTAGTGTCACGCAAGATTTCTTGATTTAGCCCTAAATAGCCTTAAATAGCCCTAACTAGCCCTTATTAAGCCTAAACAAGATTATTTGTTGGATTCTGGAACACAGCGTCGAGGTAGGATTTAGGGGGGGGAGTTCAGGGGGGAGGTGTTCGGGCATTCATGAATTTTCGGAAACTCCCATTTCAAAACAGGACAAGCCCTTGCAGCCTAAACTTATCAACGGGTCCTCGTCCACCTCCGGCTCTGGAGAGAGATTGGGTAAGGCGCCCTGGGCATCCACGGGACAAATGTCGGGGCCTCACTGATTAGAATGGCATTGGGGTGGACTGTAGTCTCGAGATGACCAAAATGCCCAGAATCCTGAACCCCAAACCCGTAATCCCCTAAATCCTCCATCCCACGAGAAGTGTGCGGAACGCCTCCAACACTGCGGTGACGGCACCTTGGCTCGCGCAAGGTCACGAGGTAGAAAGATAATCAGAGGCAGAGAGTCAGAGGGTCAGAAGGAGCTCCTTGATGGAGTAACGACCCAGAGAGCTGTAAAGAGGTTCAGACGGTTTCTCAAGGGTTCACCGTGTGTCAGGAGGGTGTGGGGTTCTGCATCTGCTGTGACAAGCTTTCATGCAAGGGTCCGACAGACCCCAAAACGTTTTGAGGTGTATGCCTTATGCTTCCATACTATGTAAAACTATATTAGTGCAGGGTTACGGGGTTCTCGGGGTACGACATGACAGCATTGCAGCTTGTGCATCGATCTCATTGCTTCAGCTCGAGCGCCCTATACCCTAATCCTTAAACTGAGCTAGAACTCTGCAAGGACGCGGTTTCCTGTAAGGCCTTGAAGTATCAAGCTTTCGGTCAGATAAACCCAACGGAAGCTAAGTGTCTTTGATGTAGAGTATAGGGTCTGGGTGCGAGCAGGAAGCGAGGAGAACAGAAGCTCCTTGCTCTGCAATAATGAAACGGGATCCAATGAACAAAAACATCGCCTGCCAGATCCTCTGAACATACACGCAGAGGCTTGAAACCGTTGTCGAAACCGCCGACGAGCTTCATACAAAGGAGGTCCCGCTTTAAGGCTCAATCGCCGGTCCTAAACAGCTTGATCCAAGATCTGCCGCCCGAACCGTAGCCTCACTTACACGTGTTTGACCGTGGAAGAGGCAATCTTAGAAGGTGCGGAGAATGTAACGCTCGATTGCGGCAGCCGAGAACGAGAGTATGGAACCCTGGAAACTCTGTATCCCCTTTCCTCTCAACTCCCTCAAAAGCTTAGCAAGCAGGCGCCTGCGTATTGTATAGACTTCCCGGACCACCAAACCGTGATACGCAACCCGAAAAGAGGCCCTACCATAAACCCCAAACACTGAAACCCTAAACACCGAACCCCAAAACCCCAAAAGTCGCAAACGGGTCGCGGAGGACACCGCAGCGCTCCGCACAGAGAGCAGCATGTCTCGGGAGCCAGGGAAGCTGATGTGGTCGAAGCTGGCCGTCGGAAGCCGGGGTTTCGGGTGTAGGTGGCTTCAGGTTTTACGCTCTCGCAACTCGGAACATGCCAGACGAGGTCTTGGGTGCGTGTCGGTACTACAGATAGCTATCTCGCTTCCCACGTGCAAACAGCTCAACATCAAGGTAGTGCCACTCAGGACAGGAAACGAGACAGACTATCGGAAATCTTTTAGGGTTTGGGGTTCAGGACGTAAGGCAACCCGAAATGGCTGCAAATTTCTGTCCGGTAACTTTTATTTAGCCTTGCGATCAGCAAAGTAGAAGGTCTTTGGACACTTGAAATATTGTGAACTGGGTCTAGAGCCGGACCGACGTGTTGCGCCCGCCGCCGAGTTTTCACAACTACCCGTGAGCCCTCGACTTTGCTTGGACTTCCGACCTCTCCAAGTATCTTTCCCTCTCGCATGGCGGCTAGCCTTTACAACTTGAAGTTTAAGGCTTGAGGAAATCTGAACCCTGTCATCAACCCTCGGCTCCAGCGAGCTTCAAAACGCCCGCCGTTTTAAAATCGCTATGATCCCAACATGCCCGCGGACAAAAGCTTCTAAAACGCTTCAAGAGAGGGAGTCAAGGTTAGACCCGAACACCCTAAACTCTGAACCCTCTTTTACACCCGGACTACGCATATGCCAGGAACCGAGGGAACTCTGAACCCTAAACCATCACCCCTGAAACCCTAAAACCCAACAACCCTAAAACAAAACCCGACCCCTAACAGGCACCTTCCAAGGTGTTGCTCTTGGGTTCGCCGGATCGGACCTCGCAGTTTCAGAACAAACGGAGTTTGAGTACAAATCCTTTTGGTGCTCCTTGACAGGACTTGACCAGGCCTCTGTAATGGAGGGGCCTTAGTTTTGGGCACGTGCTGGCACATGCTTCAAAGGGTCGATAAGCAAGGGTTTCTATTGCAGATCCACCCTCGGTCTGCTGGCACCTACCCTTGCTGTAGAAATCTTAATGTCAACAACTATCGATACTCTTTGTGGATTTCGTACGAACCTTAGAGCTTACGATAAACAAGGCAGACCCTGCCCATGTTCTCCCACGGTTTGGGCCGTTTCGGCGTGCTTTTTGTTTAGGCTTTCGGGACAGGCTTGAACCTGAGTGCCTATACGGATTGTGCGGCCGACTAGCCCGAAGCCCCAAACCGTTTCACTATCTATCCCATGTCCATCCCCAACCCCCATAACGACAGGGCTTATGGTTCCGTAAACCCTGTAGGGTTTGGGGTTTAGGGTTCCATAAACCACAAAGAGATGATGATGTCGTCCTTCCCTGAACCTGGACGGTTTCGGTTTTCCGAAAGCCTGAGAGCCCGGCAAACAGCTCGCACCAATGTAACCGATGCGGAGGGCGGTTGTCAGATCCTTCCAAGGCTGCGCAGCAACAAACCCAAGATGGTAAGCCAAGACTCCTTAGCTTTAACACGCTAGGCTATTCGCGCCGCAGACTGGTTTCTAGCACTCCAGGCCTGTAGCACTGTAGTATTCTACAAGCCTGTAGGATGCTTACAAAATGCTTTGGGCTTCTATCAGCTAGATGGAGACACCTGGTTGCTGAACGGCTGCACCTCTCTCTCCAAGGCTCTTAAGGCTCTTTATCCCAATGATTCAATGCACATCCTCCTCATTGACAGAGGGGTCAGAGAAGTCTGAGCCATTTTTTGAACCCAGACTCTGCTGATCAGCTGGGAGCCTGAACCATAAACCCTATAAGCCCCCCCAGCTCCTCACTTTGATGCTGCACAGAGAACCAGCCGACAGCTTCGGGCCGACAGCTTTCCAAGAGCCCAAGACGATTGAAGCGGACGTTGAAGTCTTTGGAGAACGAGACGATATCTAAGACTGTACTGTACTATGCTCCATAGTGTGTTATAGACGAACAAACTCTCAACCCCGAAGGGGCTTTTAGGAACTTCTTAAGGTCTGCACCGTTTGGCAGTCCTCCAACAAATCAGCGAAGAAGGCGATCGCATCTTGTGCACCTGTCAAAGAAAGTCGGGGTCTCACATGCCACTTCCCGCTAGCCGCGATTTGCTGCCCTCCCCTCCCCACCGAGCCTATATTAAAGACCACGCTCCGAACATGGGAAAGAAGATAGAGGCTACCAAGTGATACGGCTGTCTATTCTCATCCGTATATCAATTACAAAACTTCTACGTCCTGTCATAAACTCGCTGAACATCCTGCACCACGTCGCCGACTTATGAGGAACTTCTGAAATTCAGGGGAGTGCCGCGCCTGGCACTGCAGAAAGCTGCACGAGTAGAGAAGAGCAGGTCTGCTCGAGGCTTTCCTGCAAAAAGGCACATGTCTTTGGGCACTGCCCCACCCGGTAACAGTCTCTAGTGACAAAGGTACGTTTTAAGGATCTTAACTGTCTGAGGTATGAGTATCCTGTAACACGTGTCAAGAAAACCGGAAAACCCTAACTCCTGTAGCTGCAGGGCCTAAAACCTTCAACCCTAAACTGAGGAATAAGCTTGAACCGGCACTCGCAACTTGGACATGCCAGTCAGGGCCTTTTGGATGTCCAAGTTCATGTTACGGCTAGCCAGAACAGCACTGCAATAGAGATTATAGCCGCAGGACGTGGGGACGAGATCAGATTGTGGCCCAAAACCTGAAGCCCTAGGCCTAAGGCCACCCAAGACCCCAAAGCCGTGGGCGATCCTCATCACTAAGCCTCCAGAACCATTCTCTTAAACACCTGAACCCAAACCCCTGAGACCCTAACCCCCGAAAACCAAACCCCTAAAATCCGTGAACCCTAATCCCCTAATCCCCAACAACATCTCGAGATCGACTTTTTCGAAGGTTTTAAGACGTGCGAGCTTTCGGGCATCTAGACTTTCGGGCTGGCACAGCCCTTTGTTCTAGGGGCGTGAAGACTTAGAATAGGGTCTAGGTCCCAATCGCCTGTACCATCAGGGCCAGAAAAGCTCAGAGTAGGGTGTACGGTTAACGGGGTCTTGGGTATAGTGTAGCATGGATATGGTAAGGACTTTAAGGGCAGCCTCGCTGTACAGGCCGTAATGATTGGAGTAGGGCCTTGGGATATATAATGGTACTGTGCGTCATAGCAAGGAACTCCAAGGAACATTACAAACCCTTCACGCTTCTATGTTACCCCCGGTTCGAAGGTTTTGGAGATCTTTGAAACCCTCAACCCTAAATCCCCAACCCAATGCAGGAGGTCACTAGAGTCGTACAAGATCGTCCGAAAACCATCTGAGTTTAGGGTTTTCAGGCTTTCGCCTTTTGGGTTTCGACCCACACGCGCACTCGCACATTTTGTTTGTACGGGTTAGGGATTTTGGGATTTCAAGAAGGAAACCCCAAACCCAAGAAGAGATTGTCAAACCCTAACGTAGGGCCTTGACTGTAAGAGCGGGATTGGGGGGTGAGTTTCCCTGCATGTACAACACAAGAGCAAGTGTTGGTAACTATTTCGGCCCCAAAATTACCCAGCCTGAGCTTTGGCCAAACTGAAGAGATCTTCTAAAGCTTTCTCTGCATCGACCGGTGGACCTGGGGAGGCTTTCAGGGTTTTTTTTCCCTCTCACGGTCGAGGGTTCATGGCTTGGGCTCTGGGGCTTGGGGCTTGAAGGTCTACAGTATTTGGGTTCCATGAGGATCTTGCTTACGTGGGCTCTCCAAGCTTTCTGAAGAATCCAGGAGCCGTTGTATTTGCCTCAGCTCTAATTGAGTTAAGGGTTCTAAAGTACATTGCGCATGCAGATCCTGAGGTGGCTACAGGAAGTCTTCCTTGCACATTCGTCTAGGAATGTAGGACACATGAATACGCCCATATTCATGCAAATGGTATGTATGCACATTTGTGCATAAATGGAGAGAGAGAGAGAGAGAGAGAGAGAGAGAGAGAGAGAGAGAGAGACAGAGACAGAGACAGAGACAGGAACACAGAGAGAGAGAGAGAGCGACAGAAAGAGAGAGAGAGAGAGAGAGAGAAAGAGACAGAGAAAGAGAAAGAGAGAGATAAAGGAAAGAGATTGCAGGTGTGTGGGTGTGTCTGGTTTGAAGTTGGGGTCATGGGCAGGCCGCCAATGCAAAAGTAACACGACAGGTTCAGGGTTGCGGACTGAGTCTTGAGTCAGTTCCCTCAGCTTGCATTGCCGCGAGACAGACTCACTTCCGAGTGTGGTACGGGATGCGTTCTATCAGGCAGTATGAGGAGTTGCATGGGATGTCTTTCTAGTTCAAGTCTACAACGTATTGAGCTGAGGCTTTGGGCTCTGAGGTCTTTGCGTGCAATAGAAGAGCACCTTGACAGTTCGAATACGTTTTATTCTCGGAGGGGGTACATTAGTTGATATGATACTACAAGTGCATGAAATAGCCAGTGCTACGATTTAGGCTTCGATACTATAAAGCTTAGGCTATGAGGCTTCTTGTTTTCGGCCAGACGCCCGAGGCTTCGAATTCTGAAGCTTCCGTGGATTCCCAAATGGACGGTTGTTGGTTTCGGCGCTCACACTCGGACAATCCAGGCGAGGCATATGGTTCGAGGTCTGATAATGCGAGACGATCTAAAGGAAGTGGTCCAGGTGACAAGCAACAACATTCTACAAACAGTTTAGGGTTGTGGCCTAAATGATTAATCACCCTTACTACTGGGGGGTTCCGTCATTAGTATCATTATAGAAATGTAGCATTATGGGCCTCAAAACCCTATAGGGCCAGTTTAGGGTTTTGGGTTTGTAGGGTTGTCGGGAGATGAGGAGTGAGCCTTCCTCAAGACGACACAGGGACAGTCTTCAAGCACCACAGCACGCAAGGAACCACACGGAGCAGCTGAGGCTGTTCAAGTTGCTACCTGTTTAGACCAACCTGTGTCAGAGTTCAGGGTTGCTAGGTTTGGGAGTTTAGGGTGCCGTGCCGCACGTGCCGGGTGCAGCCAGCAGGCTCGCGTCCACGCTCTCGACAGCGGCAGTGGCGCTTGCCACTGGCAGGTCCTTGGCGTGGCTGGGATTGTAAGGGACTGTGTTGAAAATCGACGTCACTGGCAGGGTCCCCACAAGGGCCGTCACTCTGGGCCCCTTAAGAACACAACATCGAAAGAATAGCTGTCATTACGCCAGGGGCGATTTGCGTACTCGTATCTCAGGAGAACCCAGGCCAGCCCTGAGTGCGCGGCGGCAACCGCGGGTTCAGTAACGCCCACTTGCGCTGGCGCCTACCGGCGGACCGTAGGATTTAATGATAGTTTGCAAAGAGTTCTGTCAGTGGGCTTAAGCTTTCGGGTGGCAATGACTGATGCCTTCTAGTAGGTGCCCGAAATCCTCTGGAGTGTCATGTGAGATCCAGTCAGACCTCCACAGCCCTTAAGCCCAGGAGCCGTTTCTTAACGACGGCAAGCCGAAAGCGGGTTGGCATGGGATCGCTCTGGCTGGGAACTACTCCACATGCTCCAGCTACTGCTGATGCACAAAACCCCACTGATTCTCTCACACTGTCCAAAACCGGGTAATGACGCATTCGGTCCGGTAGAAAATGTCAGAAATATCTGCATGTTTGTCCAGCCTCCACTGGCTCGAAGAAACCTTTGTAGTCCGACCTTAGCCGCCCCTGAACCCCGGAATCCCGAACTCCGTTATGCCGTCGGTTAGTCTTTTGATCAGCACATGATTCGGTTTTGGGCTTACCTTTTTCGGCTACATGTGCCCGCGGGCCCCCGGGGTCGTGTCAACTCTGAATTGCTAAAGCCGTATCAACTGCGTGCTTAATGTCTAGAGTCTAGGGTTTAGGCTATAAGCCGCTGCGCCTGGGATCCAAAACACACGTATCATGTTGATGGGCACCCCGATTTTTGGACTGTAGTGAATGAGGTACATGTATTCCGCAAAAGCCGTATAAGATACCATTTTACTCGGGGCAGCCGAGAGCAAAGCCTGAGCATTCGGGCGGTTTACTGTGGTAGATGACGCGGCTTCCTTGCCAGCAACCTTGGGGTCGCAGTTCTGCGTTTGAGGTTTATGGGGTTTGGGGTTTAGAGTTTAGGGTGTATGCAGGGTTTAGGGTTCAGGTTGTTTGGGGATTACATAAGGATGGGTGACGCCGCCACACCGCAAAAGAGCCCTTACAAGTAACAGCAGCCATGCTATGTTCTAGAACCCTTACATCACCTGTTAAGCAACCCTTGTTATCCAACTGTGCAACAACTCCAGGTCGAAGGGGCTGGAGTATGGATTTGATGGCTTCTGGATCCACGGGCTCCATCGTCACGCCTGTTGGGCACCACAGAGATGCGAGAAAGCATTCGCAGGTCTCAGGGTTTACGATAAAAGGCTTCCCGGGTAAGGTTTCCTTTGGACCGCTGCACCTGCTATGGATGTTTGTTCCCTCAAGTACGCCAGGGTGCGGCTCGTGACACCTACTTGCTCGCCGAATCGCAGCCATGAATACCGTTGCCAACAGCCGCGGTTCCTAAAATCTTTGCCGCCTTCAAAGCCCTATATCGGAGGTTGTAGGGCTCTCGTTTTGCATTTCAGGGTCTTTAGGGGCATGAGCATAGCCAGGAACAGGATTCGGGAGTCTCTGGGAGTCAGAATCAGACGCGGGCCACAGAATCACGGAAAAAGTTACGGTTCCAATTGCAAGGACCCCGATGAGGCGCGGTCTGGGAACACTCAAGAACCTGCCCATATAGATGAGCCTGAAGCCCCTTAAAAGGCCCAGGGCAGTAGAGAGCTCCGTTCTTCCGAGCAGCTGTGGTCAAACTCCGGCTCCTCCTGTGCACATGTGAGTTAGGATCAGGGGGACCCTTCGGGACATAGACCCTCTCGATATGGTCCCGTTTACGATCTACGAGCGACAACAGAAAGTCCCAACGACAGCAACACATTTCTGAAGTCTCTGCAAAAAGAACAGGGGCCTTGGGTATAATATGCTATACTATGGTGTATATATATATATATGTATGTATACATACACAATCAATATATATATATATATATATATATATATATATTATACCAACTTATACTAACACAGGGAAGAGGCCTTTCCGGATGGTGCTCAGCTGGATGCGAAGTCGAGTTTATACCAAGCAGTCTCGTGAGTGTACGAACGACATGTACTTTTTGGTGTGCAAAACTAAGTTTTAACTCTCCGAACACACCCAACTTCAAGTCGTCCTCCCTGGACTGTCACTGGTATAGTAGATCCATGATCCGCCTTCCCTCATGCAGAAGGGGTCCCTTAAACAACCCCCTCCTTCGAAGTAACACAGTCTAAGGTAGGGATCCAAACCCTAAGACCCTCCTCGGAAGTAACAGGGTTTACTACTCAGGGGTCTTCATTCCACAGCATGGAATGCTTTGCGCTCGGACCCGGAAACCGAGCCCACAGGATGCATCCGTCTTTGCCTGTGCTTTTGGAAAGATTTTGCCATGGCTCGTAGACTGCTATCTTCTGGTAGTCTTGGCCGACGAAACCCTACGTTTTGGTAGAAGCTCAAAAAGGAAAGCAGGCTATCTGCAAGCCCGGGGTTGCTGCAGGGTGAGGCCCGAGAGTGTCGGCTCCTGATGATGGAGGACTCACGGCCCCTGAACTCTCGATGTGCCTCCTCCTCTGCGGAGCTGACATCGTCGAAGCCATCCACCTTCGCCGTCTCCTGGCCATGCTGTCTAGTAGGGTTTGAATAACGGCCGTCGTTTGCTTGAACAGATTCTGTATATAGCTGCGGTTGAGCCTGTGATCAAAGGCTAGCAGGTACGGCTCCCAAGACAGCTGCGCCCCAAAGTTTCTTCGTTGCCCCTTCTTGACACAACAACAACAACACCAGAGTTTAGTGAAAGTGAGCCGCAGCCAAACACAGCTGGCTTGTTGGCCTTGCACGAACGTTGGTTGCTGATTGTCAAATGACCGCATCCTCAGCCTCGCTTACTGACTACTGTTGCCGTGGAAGCGGCAACAGCCGCATCATCAACGAGATCATCATCATTGTCGTCGTTGCAATTGTGATGGCGGCAGAATCACCAACGATGCCGTCATCCTGTTGTTGTTGATAATGATGAGGGTCTGTCATCTTAGACAGTGCCGTCGTTACTTTCTGCCATTTTTGTTGCCGTTCTGCTTCTGATTTTTGACGTTGCTATTCGAAATAGTTCCTGTGTTTCTTCTTGTGAATATGTGACCGTCTTATCCGTCGTCGCTGATGCTAACGGCTAGCTGTCGTACTTCATGTTGTTGCTGTTGATCTGGCGGCAGTGACGGACGCAACGGTAGCGGCCAGACTTTGTTCCGCCGATCCTGCACAGTGGTCCGTGGTGGTGCTGGAGCTGTGTCTAACTGTTGCTATTGCTGTTCTCGTGGGGCAAAGGCTGGACCGCTTTGATGCCAAACAAGAGATACAGATCATTGCCTTCAGCAGCAGTTTGGCATCCCTCTCGTCACAGCCTACATTAGTGAACGTGTCGTGTTGGAGGCTCGGCAACCGTTATCTTGCGCACACTAGCATCCTACGTCCTTTTCAGCATGGGCTTGGATTGTGTGCCAGCGAACACTCCTCAACAGCAGAGCCCTAAACCCCAAACGGCTCCAAGCCCTAAAGCCCGAAATCCTAATTCCGGGCTCCGCTGTCGCCAGAGTCTGCCTGCTGAGACAGCAGGGACGGCGCCGAGGCCCGGGACAGTTTGTTCGGGCCGAAGAGTGCCCAGTGAACAAGCGTGAGCCCCTCACAGTGGGGCCACGGCACCGCCGTGGTTTTGGATGGAGGTCGATGTCCCTACTGTCTGTATGAATCCCGTTTGGTGTTTGAAGTGCAGCCTTGCACCTGCAATGAGCTAATGGAACAGCTGTGAGGATGGATCCCGGTTCGCGCCCCCTGTGTCCGCGGCTATGGTTGCTTGTTGTGCTTCGTCGTTTTCATTTACGGCTTCATCCTCGAGCCGCTGGACCGGAGGTCAGTGAGTCGCTGTCCGCCCACTCTACAGACTTTGTTATTTTAGGGACTCAAAGCCCGCCTTCAACGTCATGCGCTTCTCCAGCATCTTCTGCTTGAATCGGTTGGTGATGTCGTTCACCTGTCGGCTTCTGCCTTTGGGTGCGGGCTTCAGCATCAGCCAGAGAAGAACCCCAAACGGTTCGAGTGAAATGCTGAAGTCTGTGTTGCAACTTGCAACCCTGCACCTTTATACTATATACCCTCAGGCGTAAAGGGCCTCGGGCTTCGGGTTCGTGGGTAGCTGTTTGTAGACTTCCGAACACTTAGTCCTGGGTCTGCTCTAACCATGTCCCAGTGTGCAATACAAGGCTACCTGCACTCAGACGGACGGACACATCCTTTGCTTCTCTAAATCCCAAACTCTGGCACCTCAAAGCCGTAAACGCGTGAAACGCATGAACCATCCTTGTCCACATAAGATGCTCAAGTTCCGAAGGACACTGTGATCACAAACTATCTTGTCAGCCTTTACGTGGAGATCCTGACGGGTAATGCGACATGCTGAATACTTAGACTCCTGGTGAGGTATAATCAACGCTCCTTGTTAATGTTCATGTCTGATATGTCCTTGGATTAGGGCGACCCTGCGCCGTGCGTTTGAAGCATGTTAAAGCTCTTGCAGAACTGTAGAGTGCGTAGTCGTCGACGAACACTGCCAGGCCAATTGCACTGCCTTGGTCTCGAGTGGGTTGGAGGCACGGCGCCTGAGCTGCTCAGCTGTCTTGATCAGAGTGGCATCAGGATTCCTAAAGCTTGGATACTGGTCCGAACAAGTTTTCATGGGGTGTTGATTCGGTGTTGATGATGATGACCATACTAGCCGGTCAGATGTGGGGTTGTCCAGTCCTAGCCTGTGCGGCATGGCCGATTTTGTGTTTGCCCAAGATCCGACTGTCCGAGGGTGTTTGTTCCTTAATTCGGATTCAGAATCCGACCATAACCAACCTGCACCCTGCTGCGGGGTCCTACTGAGCCTGATGCAGGGCTTAGGGCTACCGGCTACGGGTACATTCTCGTATGTTCGTCCGAACGATCTTTGTCGCATCGCTCCTCATATGCAACTCACCATGGGCAGCCTGCAGAAGCTTTTGGTTGTACATCATTAGAAGCTGCTCCTGCTGTTCTCTGGCTTCGAGGCTTCAGCACTCTTATTCGGACATTGGCTTCGAGGTTTAAGGGGTTATGATTGGGACGATTATTGAGCTGACCATTCCACTATAACGTCTAACTGTTTACTCATGACTGCCATCAGCTTTACAAGGCTTGTCGAAGGAACGCGCTGATCCTTAGCGATCTACAAGGTAATGAAATGCACTTTCTCAGGTTCGATAAACAAAAACAGACATCGGAAAAGTGTCCAAATCCGAAACCCAACTCTCCAGTTTGTCTGTGCTCCCAGAGGACATCTCTCGGAGGACGCCCAGTGCAATCTCACGCTGCCGCATCAGAAACCTGAAGCCCCAGTTCGTTGGGCGACACTTTTAAGCCTGTAAGACAGTCTTCGAGGTGGGTGTAGTGAGTGTAGTATATTCTTTCGGGGAAATCTTGAAAACGAGGAGCCATTCCAGGAGTGTTTGCAAATAGGGTTGGGTCCGTCTTGCTCCAGACTCAGGGTTTCAGCAACTGTTTGCGGGTGTCTTTCACGCTGCCTTGGAAGCAACCTTCGTAGGTGCTTTCGACCATAAGTGATTGCGAATGTAGCAACAAACCTTTTTGAACGAGGTCTCTTCAGAAACCCTCAACCCTTACGCCATTCATGGCCCTACTTACTCCATCCCCGACCATGGAGTTAAAGTCTTGGAATCCTCAGACTAAGAAGGGGTCTGATCCCAGCGGCCCCGAGCGGGGGCGGGTTAAAGGGGGGTCACATCAGATCGTACAGGGCCCCCAAAAAGCACATAAGCAAAGATAGGGATGTATCATACAACACCCCCCCCCCCCCAATAATGAAGCCTAGTAGGGTATGTAACCTACTTAATTATGCTTGATGCCCCTTTTGGGTCCCTAACCGTATTCTATAACGGCATCATCCCAGCAAGTCCGTGACGAAGCGCTGTCCGGGTTCCATCAGGGAGAGAGGCGTCGAGACGGTTTCGCTTCCTGCGCTTCTCCCGGCCCGTAGTAAACTACTAATAACAACCAAAATTAGATTAATAACTCATGCGGCTACTGATAACTAATATAATATATACTAATGTATGCTAGCTACGAGTTTAAGGACCTGAATGATTGAAGTCTCTTTTTGGTTTCTTCACCCTCCTGTTTCGAAAAGGGGGTGGTGGGGGGAGGATGTTTTCTGCTAGAGCTAAGGAACCCCAAGGATAATAGCAACCCGGCAAACGGACAGAGTTGCGGAAGGAGTGCTTCGCTTCCGTACGGTTGGGGCCTGCGGCGGATGGCGTTTCAAAGCTGATGTGGGAGATCAGCCACTTCTCGACTCTTCCAAACCAGGGCTCCGCAAGTGTTGGGAAGATTCCTGATTGAGGCATGCACTTCCCAAGATGGATTAGGGACCAACTACACCTTAAAATTTTTTGAACCCAGAACTCAGATCCATCAAGCCTACACTCTAAGACTCTAAGCCATTATAAGCCCCGAGGGTCCTGAGAAGACAAGCTCCTTGGAAAAGGACACCTCCATGTGCCGCTTGCGCATCCACTTCAAGGGCTTTCCCAGCTCCTGAGTCCCCCAAACCCCCTTTTTCATTCTGGTAGCCTAAAAACTAGGAGTGTCCCTTGCATTCGAAAGGCGTCCTGGCTATGAGTTGGGGTATTCCTAGATCAGAGCATGGGGGACCTCTGCGAAGCTCTAAGCCCGTTTAAGAAAACGTCTGAGATCTCTAGAAAACTCTGAGACAAACGCCCCTGGCATATAGAGGCCGCAGTGATTAACAATGCACCTGGAGTTGGGTCGTATGTATGTCCCTTGCTGAATATAACACACATCAGCATATGTATGTATATATGTATGTCTTCATATATACACATATACATACAAATTCGCTACAATACAGTATACCCCCGAATCCTGTTCTTAGGATTGTGGGCTTCGGCAAGCTCAGGGCTTCAGGGTTGCAATGAAAGTGGCCGTGGGTGTGATTGTGGTGGTGCTGCCAGCAGCAGTAATTTGGGCAATCTGAACCTTGAGAACTTCCAAGCAAGAGCTTCTAATGTGGGAAGAATGTGCTTAACAGGACTAGCTTGTAGTCTGAAGGTTGGTGCTGACTCTGCGCAGTCCTTTGCAAAGAACATCATCAGTCCGGTTGGGCGGTGCTTCATCTTCCCCTTCTTCAGGCATTCCTCAATCGCCTGCGTTGCAGAGTGAAGCACACATCAAGGCAGCTCTAAAAAGTGACCCCTACGCCCACTACGTGAAGAGCATGACACTGTTCTCGGATTTTTGTCCACCGACACTTTGTTCGAAGCATTTCACAGTGTGCAACTCCATACGACTACAAACCATCTTGATAGTCGAGAACGCTATTGATCTCTAAATCTTCGTCCGGACATCTTACTGCAACCAAAAAAGCTATAGCCCCCAACAGCCTCCTGTTAACTCGTGCAAAGAGTCCTTCAAGCCCTCAAAGCATTGGTCGGATCCTATCCCTCAAAAGCACCCCTACGCCGCGTGGTTCCTTCACCGTCTCAAGAAATTATGATGTTGGCTCGCATGGTATCGATGCACGGGCCGAACAGCGTAGTGAGTGTTGTTTGAATGTTTTGGGCGGCTCACAGTTTCAGGGCTTTAGAGTTTTTCTGTTAGGGTTTAGCGGTTGCACGTTCAGGGCCTGTGCCAGCTACTACGGGGGCCTGAACCACTAGACCAGGATTTAGGAGGCGTCTCATAGTAGAGTTACAACAGGGGGTCTGAGGAATCATATAAACATGGACCAGGAGCCCTGAGGGAATACTATTGGTACCAGGACTTACCGGGGCTTCTGCATAGATCCAGAAAATCCTTTGGTCAAACATCGACCCCTAAAGTCCTGAATCTTGACAGGAAAAGCTGATACTATCGACTTCTGAGCCCTCAAACCCGAACGACGCAGATCTATCTGTATACCTCTAGATCTACATACCTTCATACCTGTATGTATATGTATGTCTTCTTAGAATGTGCATTGTTAAGGTTTGGGGTATGGCGTTAAACGTTCAGGTTTGGTTTTGGGGGCTGGGGGGTTTCGGGCTTTGGGCTTAAGGTGTGACACCACCAGCAATCTGCACCCGTCAAGCTGGACTGCGCCTCGTTCTGTGTCAGGCTGCCATCTTTCTGCAGCTCCTTGGCCAATGACCCGTGAAACTCTAAATTCTTTCTAGACCTTACAACTCTAAATCCTGATGCCCCTGTAGAGACCCGAAAGAAGGCTGCAGGCCACGGGGGACACCATTGTCTACGCCTGAGCCGTCATAGACCTGAATCTTGACCTTAAGGCTTGTCGGCCTAAAGACCAGATCATATGCCCAGGAGGTTTTCGACCTGAGAATCACAATAAGGGGCATTGAGCCCTTAGCCTTCGCAAAAACCGCCCTTTCCCCTCCTCCTCTTTTCAAAACAACATACCAAACCTGGCCTAAGTCACTGAACCTGCTGCGCCTTCAAGCCATACACCTGCAAGTCGAGGCTTTAGACTGTCGCTATTTGGGTGTCGGCAACTGAAGGTTTGGGGCTTCTTGGAGTCGAAACGTTGTAGTGTCGGGAACTGAGCCATTAAAGAACAGGGTGTTGGTGCACATGATAATATAACTCGATGGGGGCTATCAAAGGATTCGACCTCCCTTTTAACGATAGTCCTTTATGTGTGCTCCCAGCCACGCCAGACCGCAGCCTTACTTCGTACAGCAGGCAGCAGGCCTTGGCCCATGGTTACAGGTGAACTTGGGGCTTCGAGCTTTAGTGCTTTTAGGCTCAAGAGTTTACCAATGCCAAAAGAAAGTGATCCCTTGTTGTGGACGGCCTCAATATGATAGCCAACAGATGTCAGAAGAGTCCTACACGCCGTTTATTGATGAAGCCCTCCTATCTCGAATGCTGATTGCAGCTCGCGTGGATTCTCGGAATCGTACAGATGCCTGCTGAGACCGCTTTCCAGCTAATTTTCTCATCAAGCTTGACAAACATTATTAAGTTCCTTAGCCTCCCGAAACCTTTCCCCCAAAAAACCTGAGGCTTGAATTGACCATGAAGTCCAAAGCATAAACTCTTTCGACTGGGCCGCTTCGACGGTCAGACGTCGATACAGGCGGACTTCCTGGCGTCTTTAATGAGTTTAGGTCGGTTAGGGCTCTCGCGGCTTATCCAGGCTACAACCCCTATGTTTCCACTGTTTAAGACTGCCAAGGCTCGAGATTTCACTCAGATGTAGCCGAACGGCTCTGTCTGGCCTCTCAAAGAATCAATCTCTACAGTCTGAAGTTCCTTGGCTGCAAAAGCTTACCCTCTTCCATAAACCCCAAACCCTAAACCGTGGCATCAGCACCTGTCTTGTCCGGGCTATCTTGAGCTCTTCCTGTCGCTCGACCAGGAGCTTCGACAGATTCTCCTGAGTTCTAGGCGCATGGACGGTTTAGGGTTTAGGGTTATGCAAGTTTTAAGGTTTCGGGCATAAGATCTAACATGTTTTTGGGAGTAAGGCTTCGGGAGATATGGGGCTTATGGTTTGCATTGTGTTTAGGGGGCTAGGACTTTAAAGCCTAGGGTAAGTTTTCCGCCCTCTTCCATAGTTGTGAAGGCTCGTCTTGCCACGCCCGATATCAGTCCATGTAGGGGCTTCCACAAAATCGAAAGCATACTTGCATAACCAGGAGCAGCATTACTGACCTCTGAAGGTTGGTATCAGGCAGCTATGTCGGGGCAGGACGTTTCTTGCTAGTATCCCCAAAGTTCCAGCCAAAATGCTGCAACCATTCCTGAGGAGCCCAAATTGCACTCATTCAATTCCGCAACACACACACACACACACACACACACCCTACTTCGTATGGAGCAATCGAAGCCCTTGATCCGGCATAGCAAACCTGGGCAAATCAACCCAAAAACTCTAATTAAGATGGCTTGAACTATCTCTTTGTAGAGGGCTTAACAGTCCGGCGTCTCCAGGGACGAATAAGGACAACACTTGGGTGGCCCGTAGACGCAAACCGATGTAGCTTCCATGACCAGGGGGGTGCTCAGAAAAGCTGGCTAAGGCCTGTGGGGTTTTGGATTCGGGCCGGGATGTACATAACTTTCTCCCTGTTTGGCTGTCTGGGCCGCATAGTCATACATAGTCTACTTCTCCGAGCTCTGTTTGGCTTCAGGAATTCGTCTTCAGGAATGAGGCTTCCGCCGAGAGTCCACGACCACCCGCAAGTGTTGCAGCTGCACCCAGGCGATCCGCTCGTAGAAGGCCTGGACTCCAGGTCTCTACAAACCAGGCTGAAATCTCAGTCCGAGAATCCCCATCGCTTCACCGTTCCTATTTGCTGCAGGCTTGCTTGCAAGGACGCCTGGTAGTTTGCCGCTCTTCCGCCAGTTAGGACTGTGCTCGTGACAGTGCCCCTAGCTTCTGAGCATGCGACTGAGAGACCTGACTGAAAAGGCATATTAGTCCGAACTTGTCGTAAGCATGTTGGTGAATGTCACACCGTTCCTAAAAACCGCGGTTTCATGCCGAAGTACTACAGATGCCTCAATCGAGCGTCTTGAATATAGGGACCGAAATTTTACCTGAATTGGATATTTTGGTGCTGTAATATACACAAGCAAACCATACCCTTGCTCAGCGGAATTTTGGATTTTTTTTGGCTTGTTTTTACAAAAGTCTTAAAAAGAACTGATTTCCGAGACATATAAATAAACATCGTGGCCCAAAAAGATATTTTCAGTTCTCGGGGGCCATGGGTGTCGTTTGTTGTTGTTGTTGTTGCTGTTGTCGTTGTGTTGTCATTGTTTTTGTTGCCTCTGATGTTGCTGTTGTTTATGGCGTCATTGTGGTCGTGTGGATGTTGCAGTTGCTGCTGCTGCTGCTGCTCTTATTTTTTGTTTGTGTGTGATTGCTTGTTGTGGTTATTATTGTCGCTTATGCTATTATTGCCATTGATAGTGCTATTGCTACTGGTAGTATTGTTATTGATATTGGTATTATTGTTAGTACTGTTATAGCTATGTTCTCTATTGCTGCTGTTGTTGGTGCTGTTGCTCTTGCTATTCTTGCTGCTGTTGTTGTGGTTGTTGATGTTGTTGCTGTTGCTGCTGCTGTTGTTATTGCTGTTGCTCTGGTTGTAGGGGTGGGTGTTCTTGTCGTTTTCGTTATTGTTGTCTTTGTTGTTGTTGTTGCTGTTGATGTTGTTGTTGCTGTTGTTGTTGTTGTTGCGAATGTTGGTTCTGGTGTTGGTGCTGTTGCTGGTGCTGTTGTTCCTGCTGTTGTCGTTGTTGCCGTTGCTGGTGTTGTTGGCGTCAACATTGTTGCTGGCGCAGTTGCTGTTGCTTTCAATGCTGTTGTTGTTGTTGCAGTTGCTGTTGCTGCTACTGCTTATTACTACTGCTACTGCTACTGCTGCTACTGCTGGTGTTGTTGTTGCTGTTGAAGTTGACGGCAACCCTAAACCCTTTTCACGGACTTTAGTGAACAAACATCACAAGCTCTACAAGCTTTCCCCGAAAGTGTGACATCCACTCACCGAGGCATGAAAATACCTTGAACATGATTTTAACCGGCATTCAGCCACATGCGAACTTGAACTGCTCGATTTTAACAATAAACGCAGCTCCTAACCATATGCTTTACAGGCCTTGCTTCTACCACCTCACTACTTAATAGATTACTATACATTCATTCACACGCAAGGACGTCCCCGAGGCGAGTTGGTGGTTTTCGTTTGTCGCGCTCAGCGGAATTTTTTTGATAGGCTTTCCTTAATTCTAGCTATCGCATCTGATTTTTTATTCGCAGGGACGTCCCCGAGGCGAGTTCGTGTTTTGTTTGTTCGATGCGCTCAGCGGAATTTTTTTGGCCGGCTGGCATGCCTAAGGAGAGGACTATTCGACCTCTCCATTCGCAGCGCAGGGACGTCACCGACTGTCCTGTGGAGAGGGGCGTGGCGGGACAGATTCCTTAGCAAACTGTTTGCTCAAAGGAATTTCTATTTCGCCCTCTCACCACCCTCTCCTTCTGCAGTTCAGGGACGTCACCGGCCTGCGTGTGGAGAGGTCATTTCGTCTGCTCCATTCGGCCAGCCCGGGAGTAGTTTTGAAGAGATCAGCAGCCCTCTAGCCGCTCTAGCCCTTTTTAGACAGCCCTAAACCCCAACAAATCTCATCCCAAAGTTAAGCATAAATCCTAAACCCTAAAATCCCTACAGTTCAAGCCGCAAGCCCTAAAACTCTAAACGCTTCAGCCGTAGACCCCTAAACCCGTAAAAACAAAGGTATGCTTTACTTCAAGTTCAGATAGATCCTAATTAAACCCCAGAACTAGCTTTACCTCATAATTCATCAAGGCTCAAGTTTATTTCCTAGATTGCAGCCTTCAGCCCGAAACCATAAGGCGACAATGTTGATGAGATCTAAAGCCCAGACGTTGAAGCGAAGCCCTATGCCTGGTATTCGAACAAAGAATCCGAATTACTTGTTTTGCAAGCCCGCCAGGTGGACCGTGCTCAGGCAGCTCCTAAGCCTTAAAAGAAGCACCTTGACATAGCAGCCGATGCAGCTGATATTCGTGGGCCGAAGCAGCCCCAGCTCAAACACTCAAAAACTTCTAATCATTTGGAGCTCAAGCTTGCAGCTTCGTGAAGGCCGAGTCAGCCTTTAAGTTGAGCCCGGGGGATTGTCGGATTGGGTTGCATCTTGACGACGAACCTCGTCACGAACTACAGCATAGCCGCGGAGTATCATTTGAGCATCGAAAAGCTGTCCTTGCGCTTGACCCAGCGTTCGGTCTAAGCTATGTTTCTCTGCTGTGTCGAACCTCGTCAGGGCAGTTATACGACGCAAGAAATCAAGGCTGTGGCATGCCCTGTCAAAATGGAATGCCGCACTGTTCCATTCAGCAGGAGGCATCCAGCGCGTAGCTTGAAATGCCCTGCAGCTTGTATTGCTGCGTTCCGGTTCTATCCTATGAGGAAGACTTGAGCGCACCACGACGGATGGCGCATCGGACATTTCGTCCTCGTCCAAGCCACCCAGAACCAAAGTGATGCCGTCGGCAAGGTTGACGACGGCATGGCAGGCCTCTGACTCTGCGTCCGTTTGCTGGTGTGGACGTTGGTGTTGGTGTTGCTGTCACTATTGCTGCTGTTGCTGATGCTGATGCTGCAGCTGTTGTCGTTGTTGTTGTTGTTTTGAAGGTGGTGGTGTTGTAGGTTGTAGTTGAAATATTTTCTTTCCTCGGTTTGATGGCCTCCCCGAGACCGGGAAAAAGAGCAGGTTATGCAAAAAAGATATTTTCCAAAAAAGGTCTCCAAAAAAATTCCAAAATTCCGCTGAGCAAAGGCAAGAAACATCCTCAGAGCTGATGTTGGCAACTCTTCTGGCTTCTTGTTTTGCACTAAGGGTTCCAGGACGGAAGCAAAGATGGTCTACCGGAGCAATTGCCGGGAGCCTCCAACACCCCGAAAGACTGGGTTTCGGCGCTCACACTCGGACAATCCAGGCGAGGCATATGAGTTCGCGTCTGCAAAGTGAAACATCACTAAGAGGCTCCGTCACTACATGTCAGCAACAAGACATAGCAACACATAAAGTGACTGTGTCCGCCAACGAAACCTCTCCTTGGAATCCCTACGTTGAAGCATCGCAAATCACTGGATTCCAAGGTTGTATAGGATCCCGAAGCTAAGCCGGTAAAGTAACAAAACGAAGCGTCAGCCGGGCCTGACGTCGCACCACCCGCTTCTGATAAGCCATGAGCATGGTGTCGTGATTCCTGACATGCCATGGAAGAATCTGACCCGATTAGTCCCTGCGTCTCTCTCTGTTTCTCCGCCCTTGCACTGTCTACGAACCACTCCGAGCTGCAGGTTTGCAGTCGTGGCACGGTTTCTTGAATGCTACTCGACGACCTAGTTTGTAAATGATGTCGTGCGTTGCTACAAACCCCTGCCGAAACGTGTTTTACGCAGCTTCCAGAACGGACAGTACGGGAATGAGACTCCTGATCCGGCAGGCCCTTGAACAGCTAACAACTTGTCGATTCGCATGCAACCGACCTAGTAGCAAACCAAACCCTGAACTGAAAATCCCGCACTTCCTGAACCCCACCAAAGACATGGAGAGTTTCCGAAAGTGCGGAACACGGAAGTTGAGACCTTGTTTTTCGATGTTTTTCGAGGCCCTCTAGACAAGCAGCCTTTTTTCTGTTCAAAGCTAGGTGACAACTCAAGCTTTACCTGGGGTACTTATTACAACGGGTACTGACTAGACCAATCAGGGTTTGAAGTTCAGAGCTTTCGTCTCTCCCGGAAGTCTCGAATGCACTTGTTCGAGTTTTTGCTGCCCCACGAGTTTAAACTGCCCCTGTGGTGTTGGGCAGATCGAAGGCCCCGACTTTCTACGCAAGCATATCCTAAACCCTGGTAGGTTCGATTGGTTGAAGTAGCTACGGTGCGAGGTACCCACTGTTTCAGGGCACGACAACTGAGTAGGCTTGCACCCCGGACGTCGAACTCTGGAGTACAATCCTTCTTCGGATGGAACCAGCATCTGCTTACGTATACCCACAAATCTGCAACTCCTCGGAATCTCGGACTCTTAGCTACACGCTGATTGCTTTGGTACAGCTTTCGAGTTCCGGGCTTACCCTGTGCTTCCAGTCAAGCCTACCTATGCTTTTCCCTCTAGCTTTGCTGTGGAAGCAAAGCCTACCTATGCAGGTGTAGAGGCAGGGGGGCCCGCGAAGGTGAAGAAAGCCGATGTTTCTACCCGTCTGGCCCCTGCTCATTTCCGTGAGTCTTCATTCTCACACTTCTTCCCGAAGTCCCGATTTCACGCCCTCCAATACAAATCTCTTTGTGGCTTTAAGTTTTATGGCTATGCAACCGAGGCAACTGAAAACGGGAACACTTCAAGCTGTGCGGCCTCTCCAGATGCCGGCCACAAAGAACACTCATCCAGTTGGAAATCTCCGTCAACCGCTTCTTGTTGTCCTGGCGATAAATCCCTCAGGCTCAAGCCCTGAAGAGTCAAAAACACAGCTCAATCCTAAAACCCTGAATGCCCAAAGTCGATTTAAAACTTACCTAGAGCAGCTGCAGGGTGCATATGCAGAGCATCAGAACCCAAAGAGGCCAACATCCTTTGAAAGAGGAATGTCCCCACATCACAGATGAAAGTTGGAACACGCTTCAAGGTATATGGCCTACTTACCTCTGAGCTGTCTGAAAAGCCGTAATCCAATCAGCAGGAGTAACTGAAGCTCCCTCGTCGGGCAAGTGATTCTTCTTTTTTTTTTTCACAGCCTAAAGCCCCTTGGGAAAGAGCCGATTCTTCTTTTGCACATGAATGCTCGCCAGCAGAAAAACAAACGATGATTGTGAGTTAGAGGCCTTAGTTTCCGCAAGAGCGTTCTAGGTATAGTCGAATATAGATACAGAACTTTGGACATTTTCTTACGTCTCAGCAACCTTCTAGGTATTGCAGCCTCTGCGGAAAACAAGTGCCCAAAGGTGTCGCCGGCGATAAGCGTGAAACCTCGACCGGCTCACTTGGCACTCGACGGCGAGGGCCCCAGAGATGCCAGGAGAACCTGCTGGATGCAGGGGACGTAGCCGTTGTGCAGACAGGGCCCTTCTTTCTAGAGTTTTGGGGTTCCTGCTTCTGAAATCGATATCTAAGCCCGTGGAAAGGTAGGTTCCTTGCCCGAAGACCCTTGCAGCTTCTCTCGAAATCACATAGATAGACCGCTCATCCAACCCGAGAGGAGTCTAGAATCTTCGAAGCCTTTGTCAACTCCTCGACCGTGTCAACCACGACCTCAGCAGGTGGTAAGCGAGCACTTTCGCTTCTGCAATGGGGGCATTCAAGGTTACACGGTTCAAGGCTTGGGGTTTTGAAGTTTAGGTTTAATTGTTTTTGGAAAGTTTGACATGTGCCCCTTTAGGTTTAGTTTAGGGCCCAGGTTTCTTACGGCTTAGGGAGTCTGGTGATAGGCATTCGGTATTTGTGTCCATTGCATCTTTCGTTAGCTTTCGGAGCTGTCGATCCGATGGAATGTTGTGGCGGCTCTGTGCCGGGGGTTAGGGGGAAATTGGGGTGGCGGGGGGGGGGGGGGGGGGGGGGGTCATTTCCAGATGAGTTTCCTATGAGCCGATGAACTCCCAAGACGAAACCATCTCCAAACCCGACGCTCCATGCCCAAACAAACACATATCGGGTGGACTGTGGGCCTAAGAGCTCGACATGCCAGTGCCTGGGATGAGAAGTGAGATAAATGCGTACACACGCGTACATGCAAATATGTTTACTCTGCGAAACTCCGAACCTGAATACCGTAAACCCTTAGACAACATCTGCAATCACCACCCGAAGCCCACAACTTGAGTCGACCCCCAATGCAAAACCGTGCAGAGCCGCAGTCGTGGAACGCGGTGTCAACGTGTGGTGTCAATCAGCGAACCCCTGCACCCCAAGCCGTCAACCCTCCGATGAACAGAATGCGCGGGCCTGAACAAGCAGCAAGATCGTTCCTCAGGGCTCCGAAGAAACTCTAGATTAGATTGCCGTCAAGTTGTAGGGCACCATCGCAAAATCCGAAATTCACACAGCACGAGCTCTTCAACACGAGCGACGTCGAAGGTGGCTTCCAGCTCCTCACGGCTACAGGAGCCCCAGGTCACCTTGGGTTTGGTCTCGGGGCCCACAGCAGGTTGAGGGTTTGATTCTTAAGGGTTGGGAGTTCGTTTTTGCTAGTTCAGCTTGGTTCCCTTAGGCCTGCAGCCGCAATGAGGGTAAAGCGCTTGAGAGTTGTTGAGAGCTGGGCTTTCAGAGTTGAGAGGCCGCGGGATGCCGCGGGTCGGCTTGCGATTGTCTGTCTTCTCGTGCCAGCATCACGTCAAGTCCTTACATGGGGTTTTCACTGAATTTAGGCTTTACGTTTTAGCCGCGAGGGGTCGTCGCATAGGCGAGAGCGCAACTCGATCATGTGGGACATGTCCTGCAATACTACGGACTCGTGCACGACATCACCATCATCATCAACATCATCATCATCATCATCATCAGAATCGATGAAGCCACGGCCACGGTTGAAACTGTAATGCATCAGATGAGTGCGTGTCACAGCAATGCTGCCGTGGAGCTTTAGTTTACTATAATGTGGCTATGATCTCACCGTTCTTATGTAATGCTCCAGCTATGTCTTCCGCTCGATTTCCACGGTTATGCTACGCTAGGGTGTGTATTTCCCGACCAATGTTTCGCTGCCGCGCAAGTTCCTGTCACACCTCTATACAGGTTCTACTTCCGCTTTCACCGCACTTGATGACGAAAGCATACTCTAGGATGCCCAGTAACCTAGGAATAAAAACGGGCTCCCTTTTTGTTGTTGGGTAACTTTATGAGGAACCTAGGACTACAAAAAGGGAATAAGGAAACCACTGGGCATCCTAGTACTGTAAGACTTCAACCTGGCATCTAATCTTAATGCAGGAACCTGACTAAGAAACCTTGGGCCTTTATTAGGGTTCCTTATATGAATCCTACTGTTTTGAGGTCATAGGCCCGGGTTTCTTAATCAGGTTCCTACATTATCCAGCAGGCATTCCTCGAGGTCTTGAAACGCCGAGCTACTCCAACTGAAGCCATACCGGCAGCATGCGCAGCTCGCCCATCGTTGGGCCCATCACCGACCTTGTTAAAAGCTATACTAGGGCTGAGGGTAGACGATCAAAGGTAAGAAGAACTGAACACGCAAAGGACCAAGAGATAGCGCAGGAGCGGCACAGGGGTGCGTATGCTGCTGCTACGGGCTGGGGTGCAGGGCGGATGGACAGAGCTGATGACCTCAGTAGGGTCCGCGTGCCTATGGTTGTATTACATGGCCAGTGTCACGATCTGTTCCCAGCCTTTCCAAAAACCTGCTTGAAGTTGAAGACCCCCCCCCCCCTCTTACCGCACGACTCCCCTTGTCATTTCAGAACTTGGAACCGACCAATTACAGCAACTCTCCGCTGTTTCGAGGGGCATAGATGTACTGGGAAGCTTCCAGCTGTCCCAACTCTGCGCAGCACTGGAGCAGTCCGTCGGGCGCAGGCTTCGGCTTCGGAACAGAGTCTGCGCCATGCCGCACAGGGAAGATCCTTCGAAGCTGAAGACATGGAAGTCGTAAACGGAATGACAGCCGAAAGCAACTACAGCCATTGCTCCCGAGGGTCTTGCAAAGCTCGTTGGCGCTGAGCACAGCTTCTACATACTCTCGCGCAGCATTCGACAATACACCCATGGTTGAGCCTCTCTCTGCCAGGGCTGCAAGTAGGTCGGAAAGGCCTGCAAAAAGGGGCACCGTCTTTGGTGTCACGAGGGCTACATAGGTGGTGTCGAATAGCCTTCCCATCTCCGTGCCGAGTGCGTTGGCGGCAGCCAAGTCGGTTTCGGGAGTCTCCGCTAGGCCAGCATGCCATGCAAGGCGAACCGGGGTTGTGAATTTTGTCCCACGATGATAGTCCTCGACGGTGATTTTGCTGTAGCCAAACTTCTCCAGCACCTTTCAGTGGCAATTCTGATATCCGCTCGTCTTACTAGCAGACCTTAGGCAGGCCCCTTCAATCAGAACCCGGTGCAAAACCACAGTCGTGCTCTTTCCAACCTCGTTGGTAGCGCTGTAGGCCAGCTCCGTTGACTCTACGAGGGTCCCATCCACGTCAAAGAGAACTCCTTGCAGTGCCAGCCCGCCGGGGGAAAGCACCTTCCTCGAGTCTTGCACAAGAAGCAATGGCGAATCTGTGCTGGTGGAAGCACATTATGTTGCATGCACCATGACGCAGGTTATGCATGTTCCGTGCTGTCGGCGCTTGTCATTCGCTACTTCAAGTTGTCCGTGAAATCTTAAGCAGTTGCCAGCCAGGCGTGGTATTCCTTGATGCGGCTTCCAGTAGTTGCGCCTTCGTATACCGTGCTTGTAAACCTACTTATGGAACGTTTGCGAGCACCTACAGCCCCTGCAAGCAAGCAGACAAGTCGAGACGACACATCCCACAGCCCCCTTCACCCCCTACAGAAAACTATACACGGGTAGCCTCAACTTGGCGCAAGATGCCTGGCTTGAACTGTGAAGGCATCCGAGCCATCCATACCTGCAGGGACAGGGAAGCAGTCCGTCTGGCATCCGTCGAATTGACAAGGCCATTACCCTTTTTTAAAACTAAGACTGTTGATCAAATCCCAAGGCCCACCTCACCAGCCTCTCCAACTCATACATCACAAAAGGCTATAGCCCTAAGTTCTACACCTTCAAAGGCCACCGCAAATTCGAGTATGATCGAAACTTACTAGAACTCTTACATGAACCACCAAAGAAGCATTCGCATAACCGTTTTGGCTGGAACCCCTGGTCCTAAACCAACCCGAAGCAGGCCTAACTGACACAGCGCCGTGATGGCGACGGCCAACAAAGCGAGTGCAGCAGATCGGCGGGCGCTCCGAGCGAGGCGAACCATGCAGCTTCTAACTTGGTCTAACTTGTATAGATGTAGTGAGGGTTTAGGGTAATGGGATATTCGTCTGGTTATTCGGGTGGGGGTTGGGCTGAAATACACGTACGGATGTATATACTGTGCTTCAATTTCGTTCATACTTTTTTGTTTATCTGTTTTGTTTGAACTATCCATTCTCTATATTCTGGTATTCATTTGTATATTCAAGGTCCCACTGCAGCTTTTCCGGTTCATGGACTTTGAAGGGGCTTCTTGGGTTTACAATACAAGCCCACCATGTTGTTGGATAAACGCTCTGTGAGACCTCTGGTTCTAGGCGGTCTTGGCGCAAGTCCTTTTTCCTGAGCCTGTGTTCATGTAACAGTGACCCAAAGCCCTAAATCCATCTTAATCCTAAACCTACTATGTCGCTGGAGCTGTCATAAGAAACCATCCACAAGTTCATGTCAAGCCGTCAAGCCAAGGCCTTGAGAGCTTTAGGCTTGGTTTGGGGTTGACAGTTTGAACATAGGGTAGTGGAAACCCTGAATTCTAATCGCTGACAACCTCCTGACCTACGCACAAATGGCTGCAATATTGGGAAACCTATGGCTTTAAGTACTTTGGAGACCCTCTCTCCTAAACCTTAATCCCCAAGCCGCAGTCCGATTCATCATATCTAAGGGAGTTCGAAGATGTCTGGAAACCGTACATCGGATGGTCCATGCTCGTTCTGAGGTTTACAGGGCATAGGTGTGCATACATATATATATATATATATCTGATCTGAGAATATGTGCATAAAGTGCATATAAGAACAAACCAACAATCCATACATAAGCATCTGTATGTATGTATATATATATATGCATATATATATAAATATATATATATATATATATATATATATATATCGTCCCAAAAGGCAACCTGAGGCCAACACCTCAGCATGAAGCCCAAATGACGGGTCAGGATACATACACACCATCCTAAACCCTAAACCCTGAACAACAAATCCTTACACATGTACTCTAAACCCTTGAACACTTGGACCCTCGTACACACTCAGGGTCGAAGTACCCAGTAATACCTACTATCGACTCTCCCAAATAAAAACCTGTGAAACCCTGGTATCCTGTGTGCCTACTTGTTGTGCACTTTGGACCCTTCAGGTTGTTACGATCTCCTTGGAGAGGTTGGAGAGTGCCCCCATCGATCGCTTGAGCACGGTGTTCTCGGTTCGCAGGCCTCAAATACGAGATCCTCCTAGGCTCTGAAACCTGCTCATGCTTGCTTACAGTCCGAGCGTCTCGGTCGGGTTGTTCAGGAGCTTGAAGGGTTGTGGGGGTTTAACTTTGACTTCAGTTGAAGGGGTATTCTTCTTTGAGGAGTTAGAAGCCCGAGACTCGCAGAACCTCTGTACTCTGTAGTCGATGGACGTGTCATTTCCCACCAGCACTCCCAAGGAGCCCTGCATACCCAAACCCCGACCTCAGAGACTGCTTCGTCCTCAAAAATAAACACTCAAGGTCCGACGCGTTCAGGGTCACAAGCTTCGGGTCTCTCGACGCTCACGCTCGGGCAAAGCATCGGCCTTCCGTGTCAGGACTTCAGAGGACTTTCTTTACTCGATTTCGGCAACGAAGGACTTCACAGCATCCTTCCCGTTGAAATCCGCACCCTTAAGACCCGGAAATGCCAAATCCCACGGCAAAGCCCGCAAGCTCCAAATCCCTTAGCCGAAGCCCTAAATTGGCCAAGTAGCTCTCCATGTCCGCCTGCAGCCGCGTTTCAGCAAGCCGACCTCGGTGAAAAGACAAGTCAAGGAAGGAGGGCTCGGGCTCAACTCCTTCATGGTTGGGGCCCTTCTCCACGACTTCAGTGAAGCCCTAAAGCCTGAACCCATGAACCCTTGCACCCCTAAACCCCGAGACCCTGAACCCTCGACCCTAGCTCGAGCCCTTCTCTCCTCGGCCAGCTGCGTCGCGCCGTCAACTTTTCCAGCTGGTCTTGGAGGGCATCGTTTCCTTGGAGCTTTCATGCTTTCCACACCATCTGATGTAGGTAGCAGGGAGCTCTCTCGCCAAGGGGGCTCATTTCAGGGCTTTGGGGTATGGGCGGCCGGTATGGGCACGTAGTATTGTCGTATTGGACTGATAAAGCTTTAAGGCTTTCAGGTCAACTTACCGGGCCTTCGGTCGATTTAGGAGGCACTACCAGGGCATTGCCAGGTCAGAGAGCCATGAAACTCCAAACCCCAATTCTTCTGAGCCTATGATTGAAGGCATCCAGCAGTTCAGCGATAGTGGGCTTCCCGGATTAACCTGAGTCGTGTGTAGAAGTGCGCACTTACCAGTTCAGCAAATGCCAGTGAGAAATGGGGTTTCGGAGGGTTTAGAGCATCAGGCTTTAGGGTTTGAAGGTTTCGGCGGTGGGCTGCCTCAGGACTTCACGTTCAGCAGAGTTGAGAGCAGGCTTTTGAAGGGGGAGAAGGATGGAGACTGCAAGACTGAGGTTGCAGTGTCTGACCGAAAGCCGGTAAACCTTAAAGCCATAGTGCTAAACCCTTTTGCACCTGGACCACGCATATGCCAGGAACCGCTTAGCACTAAAACCCCAAACCCCAAGCCGCAAAAGCTTCACCCTACATAAGGGCTTACAGCTCCGAGCCTTAAATTCATAAGCCCCTATGTCGCGGTGCGACTTGGGGCGGACTTAGTCAAAGGGCATCTCCGCATCTCCCTTCCATAGTATCTCTACGTAGTCCTTTCGTCTACATGTGAATGCCGCCTACTTGCAAAACACATACTACAACCTGCTCGTTCCACTTCTGTGGGGTAGACTCGCTTGGCAATGTTGCAGTGCGATGTTTCCCACAACGAGTGTTGGAAGTTGCCGGAGACACCCGATCTGGACTACAAGAGAACATGAATACCGCAGGGCGGAAACTTGGAGCATTGCAATCCATAGGGCCAGTGTCAACAGCAACCACCGCAATACGTCTTCTATGTTCCGACTCTATCAGTCTAGGGCCTCTTCAATTTCAAACCACAATTGACAAGTCATCTCAATGGTTCGCAGAATCTGGCGCTGCAGGCACGATGCTCCGCTGCTGGTCAAAGAGGTCAGCTTGATAGTCAATGTCAGCTTTCCTGTCGAGTGGGGTGCATTCACTGATGTTCGCTTCTACTGTCGGATTGAGAATTCAAGGCCACCGCCTGGCTAAGACTATGCCAGCAATGAATGCAGAGTCTAACTGTAGATTCGGGTTGAGGAAGTACCATCGGGTTGCCGATCCTCTCTCGCGATTGGCGATTACCCTAAAGCGCGATACTAACTGAAAGCTGGCTGTCCTGAGCCCCAACCCTGAAGCTGTAGTCCCCAAGCCATGTTTGCTGCATTTGGGCTTGACGGTCCGGTTGCTCAGGACTCTCTGCATGGAGGGGCATCCTCAAACTTCCGTTTGTTCAGAAATCTTGCAACTTCATTTCATCTCTGCATGGGTTTTGTAGCAGGTGGCAGTTAAGAGACAGATCTTCAAAGCGTGTGCGTCTTGCAAGCGGGACAGCTCAATGCCCTCAACCCCACACCGAAAATCTCTTTATATAAACTGCCGAAGGTATCTCTGCAAAATTTTGCCTACAACTTGTCCACCATTGACCTGTGGCATTGGCCGAAGACGACCAAAACTGTCTCGAAATCGAAGGCCCGTTGAATTTGAGCTTCTATATGACCTTCCCCATGCAAAATCACATACAAGGCAGAGGGGCGAAGACTATTGTGGAGCTAGCCAAAGTCCTCAAACCACGTCGGATTTCAGGGAAGTAGGCCTGAGGTGGTTGTGCTTAGCGGTGAAGTCTGCGATGTCAGCCGCGAGGGCCCTCAGAAACAAGCATTGGGGGCCAGACCCTGAAACCTTAGTATCGTCATGCTGACAACCTAGAGCCCCAAAATGCAGGAGCTTAGTGTTCTAGAATGCTAAGCCCTAAAGCCCTTTTGCAACAGGCCTCGCACTTCCCCTAAAGCCCTGAACCCCCAAATCATAACCCACGCAGAAGGCTCGAATGCTTCAAGAAGATCAGTGCCATCTTCAAGTGGTTCAAGGCTTCAGAAAAAGGAACACGCTACAATGCAAGTCAAAATCAAGCAGCACCTCATGAACTGAAACACCTCCATAACAAGTGCCTGACCCTCTAAAACAAGCCCAGCTAACCATTTAGTAGGCTAGTGTCTCCAAGCCCGGTATAAACCCTGCAGTAGCCATAACCCCGTTGGTATACATAGAACATTCTAAACCCTTTTTCGCGGGTCCCTAACACAACCCTAATTAAACCCTAAACCAGAACTTTAAACCCCAATCTTGATACGGGATCTGAAGAAAGGAAGCCCCAAATGAAAGTATCCTTGGTATAAGGACCCCGGAACAAAATACCACCGCTTTTTCTGAGCAACCTGCATGACTAAACCTTATACAATCTATAAGCCTCAGGCATACTCTTACGCTCATTACCTGCAGAAGCAAAGCCAAGACGCCCCAGCTCCGTTCGAGCGACGTCCAAGAACCTGGAGCTCTGTGGGTGTTACGGAGGGATCGGAGTTTAGACAGGGGATTAGAACTGGTTCATGGGGTGCTACAAGGGATGTAGTTTCGCTCAGGGGAGGCTCGCACGGATCAATCCTTTATAGGGTTTTTCCGGCCATATCTAGAATGCATAATCAACTAATACAGTTTACAGTCTCAATAAAGTCTCAACGGACCCGTGTCACCATCAAGGCTTTCCACTCTGCCAGAATCGCAGCTAATCTTCAAGCCTTGGACCATGAAGCCGCTTCCCCCCGTCTTAAGCCGGCTTTGAGACAAGTGCCGCTGCAGACTACCACAAACATCCGGAAGCCGCAACGTCTAAACAGGACGTTTCAACCCTGCATCTCGACAACTTGACGGCTCGGATCCCCAACACCCACAACCCCTAGACGGCCCAATCCCAAGGGTCGGGCATCCACAAGTATTTGTGAACAGGCGCCTCGAATAAAATGCCACAAGCCCTCACAAGCCTCAGATGGCTAAGACATTAGAAAGACCCAAGAAGCCACAAAACACACACAAAATACACGAAATCGAAACAACATCCTTGCAAAAGCTACACATGAACCCTTCATAGAAACCCACCGGCCATCAACACGCTTCAAATCATAAAAGGACTGGCCCAGTCACCTGGCGGCCTCCGAGGCCGCTTTGTTCACCGCCGCCCTGCGCAATCTCGTGGGTCCGAGGTTTCCCCGGGTTTTGGGGTTTGTAGGGTTCCTATGAGGGGTTTGGGGGTTGAGGGTTTAAGATTCCTACAGGGGGCTCTATCAGTTCCTACCGGTACAGGGGGTTTGGGGGGCGTAGGGTTCCGGTTTGGGGGTGTAGGGTTCCATGAAACACTAGCAGGATTGGTTTTCTATAGGGGCTGTTGGGGTTTAGGGTTGCTGTTGGGTGCTTTTAGGGGCTATGTGGCGGTAAGGGTACAGGCCTTATTGGGTTTAGGAATTCGCAGTACAGGTCCCAAGGGTTTGCACTCTAAATTTCCCGAAGAAGCTTATGGTGCCATTGCTGGCAAGGGGGTTCCTTCGAAATCCTTGCAGCCCTTCAGCGCAGTGTTGGCAGTGATTTTTCGGGTGCCAGAACAGCCTTTTAAGAACCAGCTTGAATCACGCAAGTCTATCTGAGGCACGAGTTTTTAAACAACTTCCTTGAACCGCGAACCCGCAGCCCTAAACGCCCCAGCCCCTCGTTCGGGCCAAGCTGCTGTAAATCTGCAAGCTGCGCATCCATGTTCTTCTTGGAGACCTCCCACAAAACCCTGTTTACAAACCTCAGAACCGCCTGAAATCGTGGTTCAGGTTCCGGGATTGCCAAGTGTAGATTTCAGAAGAACATGTGTGTCGAAGCCGTGTGTGGAGCAAGCTATAGGCCAGGACAAGCCTATACATACCGGATGATGACCACTGGCTCGGAGAAACAGAATGCAGCCGTAGGTGCTGAACCCGAAGCCCCGCAGATTTACACCATAATATAGGGGCCTTAATAATTAGAATAGGGTTTTGGGAGAATGCTATAGTTATAACAAGGAGCCCCCACAATAGTATAGGTAGTTATTTTAGCCCCTACGATAAACTCCTCGACCCTTGAACACCTTCAGCCCACACCCCCAGTCAGAAACGCAGGCGCTCCTTTTCACCGAAAGGGCTGGCCCTTGAGGGCAGTACCAGTCTCGGTCTCAAGATGAAAACTGCCCTAAACTACGCCCCGGTGCCGCCTCAAAGCTTTTGGCGACCGGATTGTGGTGCCTACCAGAAGACATGCACCGCACCCCCATCAAGACCTTAAAACCCCTAACCTTGAGCTTTACGGCCGGAGCTAAACCCCGTTTCGGGCTCCTCCTACAGGCTCACTTCGGGGCCCCGTTTCGGGCTCCTGCTGATAAGTCACACGCCGGCGCTGAGCCTTCTGAAGCATACTCACGTGGAGCGAGTGTGTTGCCTCATGGCTGGCCGACTTCGCGGGTCAACAGACATGCATCCGGATTTTGGGACTAGGGTCCGAGGAGTCTATCGGTTTAGGCCTTAGGGCGTTAAGGGCTTGTTTTTTAAGGAGGAAACTTCAAAAGTGAGCATTTTGCTTTTCGCTGAACTTCCGCGGCCTTGTTGGAGATGATCTCCGCAGCACTGACCATCAAACTCTTCAGAACCTCAGAGAGCTGCATGGGACATAACACGTTAGCGTCTAGTAGAGGTATGGCACTGAGCACGGCGTAGGTTCCCTAAACCCTCAACCTTACTACAGAAAGCAGGCACATTGGTATCCCCAGGCCAAAATGGACCCATAGTTTATTCCAGTGTTCTTCGAAGCTCTTCAAAAACTGGTATTTCCTCTGGTCTGCCTCAGGATGATAGTATACTAAACTAACTCAGGATCCGTAGCGGATGCCAACCTGGCAAGTGTTAGGAGGACTTCTTACTCCAACCACTTTGCCCAAGTCCTAACATAGAGGCCAGAATACTCAGGGTATGGTATACTATGTTCAGAACAAGAAGAGCTTAATAGAATGAGGCAACCTCAGGCTTCTTTTCGACCTCGCTCTTGGAGTGCTGTAGGTAGACATGTCCTGACAGTGCACTGGTTGTCTGCCCTGGTCTTCCAACATTCAGGGCTTGTTGGGATCAAGGGATTTGGCAGTTTCCGAAAATAGGGGACCCTAATATAGTACCCCAAGTAATTAGTAGGATGCTTATTATGAGGACGCCAGAACGCCCTTGTCCTTTAAGAAACAATAGACAGAGCCCCATACCTACATCCCTAAGTAGGAAATTGAAGGTCTACTAGCCGGTCTGTTTATTCTTTTGGGGGAACCATGAAAAAGGACAAGGCTGCCCCAGAATAAGGTACCCCCAATTTTCCGAAACTCCCATTTGGGCTTCTCAGGATTAGGTGATTAGAACTGTCAGGGTGGGCTGGGCTCTCTCGGATGGTGATTGAAGCACACAGCACTCTGCAAGGCAGACCTTGTACGAGTGCCCAAAGAATGAACGGCCCAGATAGACACGCACCAGCAATCCGAAGATGCCCTATACAACCGCACCAAAATTGATAGCATAAGCCCTAACCCCCACATCTTTCAAGCCGACAATAACCTAAATACGCATGGCTCCTGATAAGTGCGCAATGTTGCGGTAGTAGGCGGCACCCGCATGCTCTGGGTCCATCAGCTCCACCACAACACTCCCCGGATACCTCCAAGTCTCTTACATTTGGGGATCGACGGCCTATGTGTCTACTTGTTTAGGAGTCTTTCCGGTAGCGATGTCATAAAAATTAGCTATAGCGCTTCGGCGTATGAACCCTTCGCAGGGAAACTAGCCAGGTGCAGCCGCGACAAGGGCAAACCCCCATCCTTCCGAATGACCCTTGGACAGTCGTGCTACAAACTCTGCACCCAGACAGTCCGGGAAGCAAACAGAGCACGCGCGAGAGAGAGAGAGAGAGAGAGAGAGAGAGAGTGAGTGAGAGAGAGAGAGAGAGAGATACATTCGATAAAGGCTGCCCAGGTACATCCAAATGGCATGCATCAACCCGGCTCCATGCATGCCAATGAGGACATCGCAACCGCTGACCAGCCTCGCTGTCATTTAAGGATCTGCGGGCGTAGCATGCATGTTCAATAATTTATTAATTTTCGTGCCCCTCAAATCGGGCAGTGCCGGCGTCCGTGGGATTCAAGCTAGCAGCTGTATCAAGGCATGTGCGGGTTTTGCCCTTCGGGGCTCTGGCGTTCAGGATTCGGGTTGTAGGGCTCAGCGCTCTCGAGGTTGGGCTCCGGGAATTAGTCTGTCAGATTTCTGAACTGACACTCCTGAGATATCATAGCCCCCAGCTCTGATATAGGGGTCGGAACACGTAACACAAAAATTGATGATATCTTCTACCTAAACAATGCAGATATACTGTGCGAGATCCCCAAACCCGAAAATCAAGGCCGTTCAAAACGCATCGTCGTCCCACGCCCCACCCCCGGTTTATGTCAGACCCTCCACCGGCAGGCAGTGCATGTCTCTGCTTGATGATTCCGGCGTCTCGAAGTCTAGCCCGACCCCCTCAAGACAAATGCCTGAAACACATAGGTGCAGACGGAGCGACGAAAATAACCTTAGAACCAAGGGTTCATAAAACCAGTATCCCAATTCGAATCTGGAACCCATTCTGAACCGATAAACCGATAATCCCCTTCAATCGAACCCCGTACACCCCGAGCCCCATGATGCCTCAAGTCTTAAATCAAAAACTGAAGTTTCAAACGTTAGAATTCCACTCGAGTAGCGAGCGTCCTGATGCAAAGCCAACAGCCTCCAAGCCGAAAAAAACCCTCGTAGAACCCCCCACGCGGCACCGAAACATCTTCCACAGAAGAACATGAAAGCCACAACCCATAAAACAGCATACAACCCAATCCCCAAGCAGAAAGCCGCACAAGGCCTTGAAACCTCTCCAGGACTCTGGAAGCCAATGGAACCCACGAAACCCTGTGTAGCCCTTTTTGCAGCTGGGCTCTTAGTGTCACCCTGTGAAACACGTACTCCAACATCCAAAGCCGAGCGTCTCGGCTTGCTTCGAGATGGGCACGCTGCCGTCGAAGGCCAGAGGGCGAAAAATCAAAGGCTCCTTGGCATGGACTTCGGCGCTGTAATTAGTCTGTTTGTGGAACATAGTTGAAATACAAACGAACATAACTTAAGGGCCCTGATTGAGGGGTTTAGCTTAGCGGTGGTAGAACAACAGGCTAGCCTTTGGTTCAAACTGGGATTTTGGGCGTGAATGCGCCAAAGCAGAACCCGAAAAGCGGAATCCTTCACTAAGCCGCGTGAGCCAAAGGTCTGTGCAACCACCCTGCCGTCAGAAGCCCGCACTCGTCCATGCACGTTTTTTCGATGGGCCCCAAGGTCCTTCAAGGCCTAAGTATACACTGTATAGTGTGCAGCTACTTGGACCGTTCACGGAACCCTATACGGTACACCCTCAAAGGAACCCTGCTATAGAACCCCGTTTAATGGGTCATGCTTTTGGGCCGAACGTCTCCATCCAAATGGACACTTCCCGTCGTCTTCTTCAGGGCATCGAAAGTCTTCTCACTCAGCTGTCCTCAGCCGAGCTGGTTTAGGGTTTAAGTGCTTTTTGGATTTGGGGTTTGGGGTTGAGGGGTCAGGTATACTGTAGGTTTTGAGGCTTAGGCATTTTAGGTTTCTGTGTTTAGGGCAGCTTAGGGTTCAGGCGTCCTGAGCACCGGAAGTTGACTCCAAAACCCTTTGATTCAGGAATAGACCTTACCCATAGACGGTTATCTTGAATACGATTAGGGCTTTTTTCGCTCCTACGATTAGGGGTTTGTGGTTCAGGGTTTCGGACAGGAAGAGACCTTACCAGTAGATGCTATTGAGGTCTTTGACTAGGGGCATTAGTCTGACTCAGGGTCTAGTTAGTCTAGTTGTGAAGTAAAGCCCTTAATGAGTCTTGCGGCAAAATAATGTAGACCGCTGATTCATAACTTCTTTCTTCAAGGACGCCAGATATGGGATCCTCTCCAAATCTGAAGAGATTAGGATTAGGGGTTCGTCATGCTTTTGCTTCGGGCCTCCAGCGGGTTGGGGTTACTTTAGGGATTGAGGGCCCTCAAAAACCGTTGGAAGCACGACGTGCGCGCTCAAACATCGTTCTCGATACCACAATACTAAAGGACCCTAACCATATGGTATCTAAAGAAGAACACCAGAATTGACGCCCTAAGTTTCCCTCAAGGTTTGGTCGTTGGATTTTCTCATAAAGACAGCAAAAACGCAACATCCTCTTTATTGACACGCTTTGCCTAAGCAACCTCCCTGAACTTGTTCCTGGCAGATCTGCATAGCGAGCTGCAACAACTAAGATGGCTGCGCTTCCTGAACTTAGTAACAAGGGTGCTCAGTAGCCTAATGGGGCTCAGAGTGTGAGGTTAGCTGCTGGCTCAACTACTACCCATAGGCCCCAAAGTAGTTCCTTTTTGGGATTACCTTATAGGATTCTTGATATGAACCCAAAAGGAACTACTTTGGGGCCTTAGGGTAGTCCTCATACTTGTGAACTGAAGTCGCTGAAAGAAGAACCACCACTCGTCCAAGGAGCGGTCCGAACTCCCAGTCGGCCGGCCGACGTAGCAGACACCTGGGACCCAGGTAGCAAGCAAAATCCTGCCCAAATGCCCTGGGACCCCGAAGATCCCATGACAATCAGGTCAGCATAACTAAGGGGCCCTCAACCATAAGTGGGAAACCTAAAGTTCCCAAAGCAAAACCACCAACTCCATCGCCGATGCCCTCATCCTGAACCCGACCCCACCACCCAGAAACCACAAATCTAACCCTGAAGACTCAATGCCACAAGGGTCGTTATAAGCTGATGCGCTAGTAAAAAGCCGACAGCGGTAGGAATGTTCGGACCGAAGCACTGCGGCCATCCGAAGACTCCTTGGACGCCAGCCCGACGCCGGCATAAAGAGCCTAGGCTGCAACTATTCACTCAGCCTAGGACATTTTTTTCCTTGGGTCGAGAGGGATGAGTGTTTGGGAGATTGTTGGCTTATGGTTTGGCTTTAAGGCTTCGGCTCTAGATCTGATATTTGGTCTGGGAGTCGAGGGCTTGGGATTCTTTACTGGCTTTCGATGTGGGTCCGGGGCTCATGGCTTTTTCATGACTCCGCAGTTCCCGAGTAAAGTGCAAGAAGCCTCTGCCCTACAGTATAAGCCCAAAAGTTGGAAACCCAGTAGCCTCAGTCCTTAAGAGTAATGCATAGGGAATCCCAGCACTATTTATCCTTAATCCGGTTTCCAACTTTGTGGTTTACTGTAAGCCCTGATCCTTGCTAAACGCCAGACCGCCCCGTATGTGAATTAAACCAGCTATATGTTAGCTGTATTACAGTTATATAATGTTAGACCTATCTGCGCGATGGACCTCTAAACCTGGGCCCAATATCAACAGCCCACCAAAGACAGACGCAAAACTCGCAAAAACGGAACGCAAACGACAAAGACCTGAATAACCTCTTAACCCTAATGCCTAAATCCAAACCCTTGTTAACCCCCCAACCCGAACCCCGTGTTTCGAGCAGGGACTGCAAGGCAATGAGACCTGAATCCCTTCAGCCAAGCCCGAACCCCAGCCCTGGACCTCCAGACTTCGGTGATTTGACACTACTTGGCTGGTATAGATTTGGGGGTTTCCGAAAATAGGGGACCCTAAACAAGTACCTTAAATACTAGGATCCTAATCAGGACCCCAAAGTACGGTAGCCCTAATTTTCGCAAAATCCCATTTCGGTTTCGGGTTGAGGGTTCAATCACCCTAAACAGTAAACCTGGCCCTAAACCCAGAGCCCAGGAGCCGACTGAAAGTCTCTCCAAAGGTTGGAGGAATGAACACACTTCATCGGCAGATCCCACGCAAGGTCCCAGAGGAAGCCGTCCTGACAACAGGGCTCTTTAGGGTTTTGAAGGGTCTTACTGTATTCTATAGTATATTATCATACGTTATGCTGCTATGCTGTAGCAAGAATAATATGTGACGAGATTGCAAAGGACAGAGTTTCGGCTTAGAGGTCTGGGTGAATAGAACAGGAGCAAGGTGACCAGAGCTACCTCATTGAGGATACTTGAAAGGATACTTTAAGGGTTAGATACTGAGGGATCCTCATAAAATAGGGATACCCGAAAGGATATACATATGGGATTGCCCCGTGTGGATATAGCTTTGGGGGCGCCTATTTGCCGCTCGCCAGCGGACCCCTCGGGCCTCTGGCGCCTTGATCCGATGCTCAAAGCCACAGTCCTTGGGGTTGCGAGTTCAAACTTTCGGAGAGAGACCACATGTATAAGGCCAAAAAACCTTACAGTTCTCACACTGTCTCACGAAATTTCATTATGACCACTATACGCTCACATATGAAATAAGCAGGCGCTTGAGAAGCCCTCATGTGCCATACGAGGCTGAATAGGCTTCAAAGCTCCATGGCTCTACGAAACCACGGAAGCCTCAAAACTTGAGGTTCAGGCTGGAGTCAAACACAAGAGCTTCAAGACGTCCGATCCCTGCATCACGATTCCCGAGTTGGCACACAAGCGGGCTTGCACAACACCCCTCCTTGCGAGCAATGAAGACTCGTGATCAATTCACCCCTTTCGCAAAGGGCCTCCATAGGGACAGGAGTTCATTCACCAGGGGCCTACATTCATGTTGAACTTCATAACCCCCTTCGCAACCCTAAAACAGCCCCTGTGCTTAATTATCCGCGTAGAACCATGTAAAATCCGATAAACATTTCAAGCAAAGCATCCTCCGGAGCCAGCGATCCCAACATCTTCCAGGGGTATGGGCCGCTGTCGTTTTCCATGCTGGACTCCCTTTCTTGGCGAAGCAATGGCTAGAGACCGTGTAAAGTCAACTACATGCAAAACTGATATTATATATATATGCACACACACAGTTTGTATATTTAGTATAAAAGCAAACAGAACCAAAGAAAAAAAAAGTTGGGTTTTGCGGAGCCGAGCTGCCTCAAGGGCGACACATAGTAGGCGACTGTGATGTTCTGGGGAAGCTTTCCCTTGAGCTGCAGCACTCTGGGTGTCACCCATGCCTCAAATATCCTTGGTGCTGAACAAACCGATGCATTTAAGTATTATAGTGGGGCTTCAGGGTAGATTATACCATTACGGTGTGGCATTTTTTGCATCCGTACTGAGACTGTAACTAGGAAGCCCGAGGAATGATATTGGTAAATATTTCAAGCTTCTATGACTATGACGTTAGTTAACACTTTCTGGCAACGGCAAGTCTGACTGTTAGCGGCTAGTCTGCGATGCCAAAGCCTCCACAAAACCCAGGCCCAGCAGCTCCGAAAACCAGAACCACTCACGTTAGTCCTTTGTATTACACGAGTACACAGCTCTTCTGAGGCCAGAGACAACTCGCCCTACAACAGATTTGGCCAAGGCTTCGCAGTCATGCGGTGCCAGACATTCGTTGCGAAGCGGTCTTTGCCTAGGTTCTGAGCTTGCAGGGATTTGGGCTCAAGGCTCATCGGATTTACTGCCGCTACTCAAATCAAAAGAAACCCAAAATCTTCGGAAGCAACAAACAAACAAGCAAATATATGAATAACTGCATATGTAAACGTGTACATATGTATATATATATATACATGTGCAGTATGAACACATGTATATATGTATATGTGTATATGCAGCTGTATGCAGGTCTAAACAAAGAAGACAGAGGTCCACATGTACTCCGCAAGCCCTATCCTAATTTCACCGCCTTGCTGTCTAGGGCCTTTCCCAGGTGGTTCCTGAGAAGTAAGTGAGGCGAAGGGCTGTGGGGTTCTTAGGGCTTGGGGCTTTGAGAATGTAGGCTTTCTTGGCATCAGTGCATGCCATGGTTAATGAACCCCAGGCACTGCATAAGGAGTACAATAGGGATTCGAAACTTTAAGGCCCTGTAACAGGGCTTTGGTGCAAGATTTTCTACAACAACTATACAGGGACTGTATATGCGGACACCACGACAAGATATTCCGAGCCGTCAGTTACCGCCTTCCGGCTGTTTAACTAGGTGCTCTGGGCCATTTCTTACATATTTCCAACATAGACCACCCAGAGCTCTACCATTGGTACAGTCACCCCTAAAGTATAGTACATCTTATATATATATAGTCTGTTACATATATATATATATATATACTTATATATGTATATATATATATATATACAGATAGTTATATATATATATATACACATATATAATATATATATATATATACATATACATATAGATATAGCAATTTAGTTCTTAGTATGCGATAGTATACTATGCTGCAATATACTAAGCCAGCTTTAGGGTTTGGGACCCAGGTGCTCTGGACCACCACGAGCGCCGAGTCGGACTTCACGGAGCTTCCCGACCTCTCGGGGATCCAAGCTCTAAGCCTTGAGCCGTTGAATATAGCACATTATACTAAAAGTGTCAAAGTGTATTAGACTATATTATATCGTATAGTCTAGTATATTAGAGTATATTGTACGTCGTATTTTACGGTACATTTTACCATCATGCACGATGCTATACTCCTAAATATGTTACGGTACTTCCTAGTCCTAGTGCAGTCTAGTAGGTACCGTAAGGGTTCCGGCTTATGATTATGATTGCGAGGTGAAAGGATTATGATTGCGAGGTGAAAGGCTTGGGAGCTTTGATGCTTGAAGCTCCAAGCCCCTAAACCCCCTTATTCCATAAAGGTGCATACCGTGGTATGGAACGATTCTGGAGGACGGAGTCTCACTAGACAGACATTCGATAAAGCCTAAATTCTTAAGCCCACGCATCTTTTTTTTTAGCAATCCCGTGAACTTCGTCATACTGAAAAAGGAACCGTATAATCCTTGAGAGCAGTGAAGGAGGCCGCCGATAACTCCGGCCTACATGGCGTCCCAGGGGACAACTCGGCGGTGACCTGGCCCACCGCACTGGGGGCTCCAGAGCGGTCGATGCTCCAACTTACCTGAGACTGGGTTCTTGTTAAGGAATTCAGCTTGAGTTACCATGATAAACGTGCAGAGTCTCTGATATAGCTCCCTTACTATGGTATCTATCTCAAAACACTTTCCAGAACAAGAACCCAGTAGAAAGCGCAGAGCATCTCGCTAGTTGAAGGTGCTATTAAGCTTTATAAACTTTGTATACGGGTATCTAAGGAGTCTACAATGTTTGTCATAAGTGCATGAAACAGCATCGACGCAAGGTATGTTGCCTCCTGCACTGCTGTTGGCTATGACTTAGGAACGGTTCCCAAGGCTTCCACCAAAGCCATCATTAAGGTTTCGACATTAGGCTGCCTTTTGTTTACGGATTTGGGTCTCAGCGGCTTGTCTGGAGGCTCTTTCAACTTGATACTTTGAGCACTTCAGGTTCCGAGCGACTGATTTTCACATCTATCCATCGAAATTGTTTCCAATCCTGACACCCCAAATTTCTGAAAACATTCCAAACTCAAGACCTAACTTCTCCAAACGCCCGGCACCCTTTCTTGTGACAGGCTGTGGGCCATGAGCGAGTTTTCAGACCGCGGCCCCGCTCGGTGGCATGTAAACAGCCTTTTTGTGGGTGTGTATGTGCGCGAGCGTGGTTTTCTCGGGGGAGGCGGGGGAGTTAGAAAAAGGTGGCCGCACTCATGGGGGTCTGCGAGATGCATGACATGCCAAACGCGCACCCCAGAAACCAGTACCACTCTCAGAATCTGGCCCCTGCTGCTGCTAACCCAAACCCCAAACCGGAGAATCCGGCAGACGTGCAACGATGAGGCCAATCGTTTGAAAAGTGAATGCCTGCTCTGCAGACGCTCTTGATACCCACGCAGCATAGATAGTCATGCCGAAGATGTGACAGATTCCATTCTGCAGATGCTACACTGTTGGAGGTACTGACGAAAGCCAGCTTTACTCGGTAGGCGGAGGCCAGCTGGAAACAATGCTGCTCAAAGACTTGTGCCCTAAACACAAAAAGCCCCAAACCCCAGAAGCCCCAAAACCTTGAACCCAGAACCGCAGAAACCTCTGGCAGAGGTCCAGGTACATGTTGCTGGTCGCCCGGCCGCTCTTGCCAGAAGCCTGCGATCCCAGACCAGGTCCTGGAGACATCTTCCACATTTTTCGACCGGAAATGGGGCTACATACCTGGGGTTCCTGAATATGCGGTACTCTTGCCCGGGTTTAGAATTTTAGGCACCTTCTGAACCCAAATGCGTCTGCGAGGGCTTTAGTAAGCTTTCTAAGCATTCTACGACGTGAAGTTGGATCCCCCAGAAGACACCTCTGTCATACTGATTACACGACAGGCCGGAAACTAATTGCAACAGGCCTAAATGGACACCAAAAACGTCCAAGACCTAGAGCTCGAAACCCTGAAGTCTTAGGGCACTCGAAGCCGGGGTGGGTCTTCAGGCAAGGAGACCAACACCTAACTCGGATTGTAATTGTCTTCAGGTTTAGATCACCTCGGATTCATGGATATTGAGGGCTTAGTGTCTGCTTTCGGAGGGAGTCAGGGGTGTGGGCTCAGCTTCAAATCCCGACACCTCTGGCCGTGCATTCGGTTGACATGAAATGGACAACCCGTGCTCCGAACTTTCGTACCCAACCGTGGAAAAGACGTTCATGAAAGTTGCATCAAGGACATATGCACAAACACGCTGATGACCGCGACGGCTGCAGAGCTATGCCGACGATTGTATGCTGCTACTGGCGGCGATGCCAATGCTTTCAAGAGAGCTCATGCTAGCGATGAAAGCGTATCAGGGGTACAAGTCGTGAATCCTACACGTTGCAGACAGCCCGAGTGCCAGGAAGGACCCATCCCCCTAGCAGTTTCGAGCACTTTTCGGCTGAAGATGTCCAGTGGTCGTTGCACAACGAGCCAGAATCATCTTGGAAGGCCAGCGCGCTGAGATTGGGCCTTGCTCGGATAATGCTTGAGCTGTTGCCACCGGGGTGCATGCATCCAGTCAAGGTATACTTTGGTTCCAAATTCATTAGAAAAGACTCCCCCTGTGAGGCCGAGGCACATACTATGTCAGACTATGTCAGTGAATGGTCGCTTGCCAAGTATCTTCGCTTCGGGCTTTGGGCGGGCTCAGGACTTCGGGCTTCGGATGTAGGCCCCTGAATGATTCTAACCTTGACTTCGGGGAGGATGTGGGAATCTAAGTGTGCGCGAGCCGGAGAATGTCAGAGGGTCCAGGGATCGCAGATTTCTTAAGTTCTTGTCAAAGTAGCTCTAGGACTCTAGGATGTAGGCGGAGGGGGGCGGGGAAACCTTCGACGCCTCAGAACCCACAATTCAGCAAAGGAGCTTCAGACCTGTCTCAATGGCTGTCAGGTTTGAGCGAAGGCTCAGAATCGTCAGCAGGCACTGTGCATCTGGCAGCATCTCGCAAAACCTCACGCTTGTGATGTGTAAAGCAGGACATTCCTCTCGAATTCTGATGAAGGCACATGAAGGCACTGTTGTGATTTGTGTTCCTGCTCAGGGCTGCAGCATTCACGGCTTACTCAGTTTCGGATGATAGCAGACTGGAGTGGCTTTCGGCTTTCCGGTTTCGGGGTGAAGGGCTGTTCACACTTTGCAAAAAACTCTAAGTAGACATTCTGCCAGCGTAGGTCCCCAAACAGCTATCAGCAATAGTGCACCACGACGACCATGACAGCCAAAACGACCCCAAGCGCTAGAACTATAAGGACTACCACGACCAACAATGACAAGGACCAGCATGACACCAACGAGTAGAACACCACCTTGAAGTTTCTGACAGAATGCCAAGCAGCGACGTTCGTCGACACGGCTGCGAGGCCCAAAGATTGGCAGTCAGGTGCAGGGCTCACGTCTTAAGCCTCACAGCCCTCAGCTTTGCAATTGCAAAAGCCCTACGACGCCTCGTTGAAGCCCCAATAAGCACTCTGAGCCCCTTATCCTACATTGTGGACTATAACCCTAAAGTAATCATAAACTCTAGATTATGACCCGAAACACGAAACGGATCCTTGTCTCTAATTCCGCTCTGAAGCAACCCTCGAAAATATCACCCTAAACTCCTACCCCCAAGTATCAGTAACCCTACAGTCCCAGGGCCTTAATCTTTTATGGAAAGATGTTCGATAGCAGATCTCGAGCCGAAAGGCGAAGGCAAAGGAGGCAAACGAAGATCAACACCAAAACCCTACAATTCGGGTTTTATATATATATATATATATATCTCTCTCTCTCTCTCTCTCTCTCTCTAGCGCTCTCTGCCGTGCCATCATCAAGAGTCTCGCATGTCTCGCAATGCAAGGGCACGAATTCGGGTTAAGGTTTTGGGCTGAATTTGGGGGTTTAGGCTCAACACCAAAACCCGCCACAGTTAGGGTTTGGGTGTAGGGTTTGGGGCCTGGGCTCAACGCCCAGACTTCTACGAGTACAGATAGGTTAGGGTTGAGGGTAGTGACCAGTGGAGGGATCAGTGTTTGGGTCTGAAATTTTCAAGATTCAGGCGTTTCCACTCTCACGACTCGCACGAGGCAGGCGAGGATCCGCAAGTCTGGGTAACACGACGCGGCTGGTGGTCTTGATTTCTTAACCCCTGATGATTAACACTTGTTTGCTTGCAGGCCCCAATGTTAGAATCTCCATTCGAGATCATTATTGAAAGGAGAGGGGTTGATCAACCTAAGGTCTGACAACACATCACTGCCTTGAGGTGAGCAGGGAAAAGGCTCTCCACTGTGCTTAGAACGGTGGCTATCTCCGGAGAAGCAGATGCAGCACTGTCAATCAGAAACGACAAACACATAACTTAACAATGCCAAAGCCGCGCCGAGCAAGAACGTGAAATCAACCGTGCCAGTGAAGGGAAAAGCTGGCAGATCCGCTCGACAAGCCGCTGAGACTACTGGGGGATGGCCACAGAAATGGAAGTTTTGGCCAGCCCAAAACTTACCTTCGGTTAGTAGGGAATGGAGGAATGGGGCACAAGTATAACTACTATTACTACCATTCTTCCATTCCCTACTAACCAAAGCTAAGAAAAAGTCAACTGACAAGGCCTGGCACTGCTCCAAAATGTTGTCCTCAGCTGCAGGCCGACATCGACACGGCTCACGACCCGATCTTCCGAGCGTCTTAGTCGATCGAATCGGAAGCCTTGAAAGACTTTATGGATCTGGGTGGTTGTCAAGCTTAGGGTCCCTTTTTGGGTACCCTGAAAAATAGGTGCCGTAATATAATGGGGTAATATTGACAACCACCCACCTGTGTGTACAGGACAATCCTGACCCCCCGATTTTTGAGGCTACTGATCCTTAAACATGCGCTCGACACTGATCGGTACACAGAACGCAGCAACGTACTGTGCTGGCCAAGCTTTGACGCTACGCATCAGTGAAGGGCTTGGAATTTCGGACTTTAACTTACGGTTTTGTGGTTCGAGGTCAGGTCCAGGGTCTAGGGCTTTCGATCGCATCCCTTCAAGCTGCGACCGGTGCCAACATCCCAACGGTTCCCCGCTGCTTCGACGAGACCAAGCTTGGACTGGAGAGACTCTAGGGTTTTAAGCACCCCCTGAGGACCTGCAGAAGGCTGTCTGGGTGGGGAATGGGGGAAATGGGTCATTGGGACTATTATTGGGGAGTATATAGGACTACTACTGGGAACCATTCCCCCATTCCCTACTAAGAACCAAATAGCCTCCTAAGAACCCTAAACCCCCAGAGTATAATCCCGAAGTAGGGAAGGGGACAAAGATGCCGCCGAAGTGTCCGCTTCTCGGTCGAGGCGTTGGAGCTCGACGGGCTCGGCGCGGCGGACCAACTCCTGGGGATCCCATGAAATTATTCCTTCAAAAGGCCGACAAAAAACGAAGAGAAAGGTTCCTCGTTCGAAAAGGGACTTCCTGCATCTTTGATGTCTTCAACTCTTTTTTCTACAGAAGAAGTTTAGGGTTCAGAGTTTTAGGTTTCTGATAGTCCCGACCAGGTTACTTCGCTGCTTTCAGGTTCAGGTGGAGATCAGGCTTCCGCACGCTAAACTGAACCGTTTTGGCCCCAATCCCGTAACCTCTGGATAACAAACAAACGAAACTGTTGGGGCACCTCTGAGTCATAATCCGAAAACCAAAGCCCCGTATGCCACTCACCCTGATACGTATAGGGACAACTTCAGACGATTTGGGGCCCTATCCTAAAGAGTACGATCTTTTTTGCGAATAGCCCGTTTCAGAAAGACTCCTAATCTGCAAAAACGAAAAGAAATCCGTATTAAAACCCGCCTAGAAACCTAACTTACAGCCCTCACCAAACCTTTGCATCTTGAGGATACGGACCCCGAAGAATCAAATCTAAAGACTACCCAACAGATTTCGAGCCGATCGGCATTCTGCAAGGAGTTGCTGAGCTCCAGCTGCATGGTCTGCGCTGCAGGGATTGTAAATTTCAGGTGTAAGATCCCGTTTTGCTGATTCAGGCCTCAGGGTTTAGGCATGTTTCCAGGGTTTCGGGTTGGAGTGCTTCAAGCTTTAAAGGTTCAAGCGTTGGAGTTTGGTTGGTTTCGGGAAGACTTCTCGGTAGCTGAAGGATTCCGCCGACTCAGCCACAAGTATAAGGGCCTGAGTATTAGCGATGCTATGCCCCACACTCTCTGATGATTAAAACCCAGGTGAGAGGTAGGCTTGGTGCAGGGCAGGGTCAGGGTTTAGAGGTGGTCCTACCAGAGTGGCTGGTGGCTTCTTGGGGGTCCTTGTTTTTGAGGGGGGGGGGGGAGGGCTCTATGCGAAAAACACACACCAAGGGTCCAAGCGTTCAACTGGCACATATTATGAGGACAGAAAAGGTCAGGCGTTCGGGCAAATGTAACAGATGCAGGAGGCTCGCGGCGTAAGGTTTAGGGTGTAGAATACATTTCGGGCTCCGCTGGCATTAAAGTTGAAATAGGGGCTGTGTACAAACAGACTGTTTAGACCATGGAAGACTTCCAGTGCTTTCTCTCGATGACTGCTGTGTTGCTTCTACAAATGGTTGTTTCCAAAAAACAAGCAGGGACCCCAAATTGACCTGGAATGAGTCCCGAATTAGAGGTAGAATCCGTAAGGGCCCAGGGTTTCATAACAACCCCATTAATGAGGACAGGACGTAAGCCGAGCCCTGAACAGCTGGATTCGAACCCGCAACTGAACTGTCTTTCCGGGGCGATAACACATACCCTCCAAAGCAAAGGCATGGAAAGCAACCATCAACTCAAGCTCTTACCATCCCCCCTCAAAATGACCTCCACGATCTCGTAGGCACGGGACTCGAACATGCTGTCCAAGGGCGCTGAGAGCCTGCCGCCCAATGGGAGTCTTACTTAACTTAGCTTGGGGTCTTCGTAATCAGGAGCCGTCTCCCTCAACCCTAAACCCCTAAACCCTGTTGTGCCTTGCTTAAGGTTCGTTGCCCAGGAAGGAGTCCTACTTGGAGTGACGACACGACATGGAAAAGCCAGTTGCGGGAGCAAAGATCATCGCAAGCGGAATTCCCTTCTCCACTGATCTGCTAAGACATGGGAGTTTCCGACAATGGGGGACCCTAGTTTAGTACCCTAGTAAGTAGGATCCTTATTATTATACGGAGCCCCAATATATGGTACCCCCTAATTTTCGGAAACTCCCATATGGCCATGGCTTCGACCTTTGAGATTGCATTTGGGAGCCGCCGGACGTCAGGTTTGACTCGCAACGAGGCATTCATACACGAAACCAGCAAGCACCAAACTGATCAAGCGCCCAACGAACTTGCGAAGCTTTTTGGTTGATAGATCGGACGTGATCTGCAAGCCTGCCTGTGCAGTCTGAGTCCTGCGCATATCCAAACCTCTACAAAGGCACAAGTCGAAATTAAGGGAACTATGGCATATTCTGTGTCAGGGCATTGCAGGCAGTTGAAGGATTCTGCCCATTGGAATGAACTTTGCTACGGCCCCCTCGGAAACCCTACTTACTATCCGGGTTCCGGAGCCCAACCATGTCCCAGACAAGAAGACAGCATGATTACGCTCCACGTGACACGCAAGACTTCAGCAAGCGTTCCTCATGGGCTCTATAACAGCCTTGCATGTAAATTCGAGGGCCTAAGCCAAAAAGTAACCCTTGTAATGCTGAAGGAACCTGTTAACGAACCCTGGGAAACCCTCTTAGCCCCTTCTCCCGCCCTCGGACGTCGTCGAAGAAGGGGTTCAGGCGGTGGTAGCGTTTGTGCTCATACGCCCGATGATATTGCGCGAGCCTTTGGATGCTTGTTAAGGTTGCCGTACAGTTTCTTAGACTACTATAAAAAGGGCACCATGAAGTCTACGATAAGGTTGCTAAGAAGGATACTACACTGCACGCAGCTTTGCTGCTACTCTGTGTGAACAATAAAGATACTACCGGGTGGGGTGGGTCACCAGGGCAAGAGTAGCAACTGCCGGTGTGGCAACAAGTAGAGGGGCAGTCGTCATTATCTGATCTTCTTCATCAGCACTTCCAATTTCGGCAAACCCCTGCTTGATGCTAATGGTTACACATTTCAGAACTAAGGGACACAGTAAACATGAGGATGCGGAAAAGACCATTGATCATATGATTCGTAGGTACTGGGCCCCTTAGGTAAGCCTTGTAAACCCCAAACCTTGACCCCGACAATGAGCTTACTTCGGGAAAACCCACCTATGAGTTACTTTGCTCAAGCTGGCACCTAGTAACTTGCAGCAGTAGTAGTAGTAGAAGAAGACGTAGTAGTAGAAGCCGTATGAGTGGGATCAGTATTGCTACTGCCTGGCGACTGAGACCGCGCCGGGTGGGGGGGGTTAGTTCTTCCGGAGTATTGACCCCCCCCCCCCGGGCGGGGAGGGGCGGGGGAGAAAGAATATGAGGGGGGGGGGGGGGGGTCCCCCTCTTAATAATTTTGGAGTATGAACCCCCCCCCTTTATACTCCCGGATTACGAACCCCCCCCCCTCAATACTCCTCAATACTCCTGGAGTAAGGACCCCCCCCCCCTCAATACTCCTGGAGTAAGGCCCCCCCCCCCCTCAATAGTCCGAGAGAACGAACCCCCCCCACCCCGCTAACGGCGCTATCTGTGGCGACTTGAGTTTCGGCTTTCGCGAAACGTAGCAGTACCACACTCGCACGTTTCCCTTCGTCGGAACTAGAGACTTCAAAGCCAGGGGGCATGTTCCCCATTTTCAGGACAGAGAAGCCACTGTCCTCGTAGAACCTTCAGCTTCGAAGGCGGAGCTCAGAGATGATAAGTTAAAGGGCTCAAGCTTCAGAGTTGAGAGTTTGTAGAAGGTCACCAGGTTCAGGACTCAGGGCCAGCCTCTTCTTGTACAAAAGGGTTGAGCTTGAGAGTCGTGCTTAACAAGTTTCGGGTTTGGGGTCAGCATTATAATTGGTGTCTGCTCGTCGCGTTGTTTTCGAACATGGGGACCAGCAGGTACAGAGTAGAGCTGTCTCTCCATGTCACTTGGCCTGTGCTTTGTTGTTTAGTTGCACAGTGCAGCACCTCCAACTGGGAGCTTCAGGAAATAGCGAGATCCTTGATATGGAGAGCCGTGAGCCTACAAGTACACCCCAAACCCTGCAGCCCAAGACCAGACACCACTGTAGGTTCTGACATACACTCGCAACAAGGTATCTCTTTCTTAGCAGCAACTTATTGGACCCACGGGTGTAATACAGGAGCCTAGATGACCGAAACAGGGTCTTGGGGTTGTATTGTACTCTGACTAAGGACGAATATTAGTGAGTGTGTTCACTCTTCTATATAGTCCTAAGTGTCTCCTGCCAAGGACGCCGCATGGCAGACCTCACCTTCTTCGAGATGTTCCGGACGCGACTCCTGGTGCGTCTGTGGCCGATGAAGGCTCTAAGAGACTGAGCGTTCCTCTCAGGTCTAGCTACACGCCGCCTGCTTACTCTCGGCTTTCGCATGTTGGGGGCAGGACTTTCGGGGCTTCGGGTTTAGGCGTTTCAGGGCATAGGCGTTTAGTTAGTGGTCTGGGGACAGAACAGAGTCACAGCGGCCTTGTTATTCTAAAAGGGTTTCATGGGGGGTACTGTATACTGTTGTGGAGTCAAACGCGGACGGTAACATGGATACTGAGGTATGACAGACCTATCAGAACACCAAACAGCTTGAAGGTTGGGTTTCGGAGGCCTCGGAAGCTCAAGACCACTGCACCTCAGCAACTTCAATGCCCTCCACACCAGCCTGGAACTCCCGAACTCTATCCTAAAGCTGTAAGTTTCTAAATCCCGCACCCCCTGCAGGCTGCATTGGGGCCGACTATCTAAGCCAGTGACCCCAGCGCCGCACAAAGTCCCAAGCCCTCAAAACCTAAAGCCTTGTTTTTCCCAGACCTTGCAGGCAAAAACCCAAGCATAAACCCTAAACCTTGCGTCCGAGACCCTAACTAGTCCTGACATCTAAATAGAAATCTTAGGCCTCAGCACAAGCCGTGAAAGACGCTTGGAATCTCATTTCTCGACCCGACAAATCGGACGCCAAAACACACTGCAGCCATACAACAAAGAAGTAAAACCCCATGGCCCCGGGTCTCTGAGACGACTACAAGGAATAAACGAAGAAAAGCACATTTGATCAACCTTCAACTCTAAAGTCCAAGAACCCCTTCCAGCAAAACGATACCAACCCGAAGTTACCATAATGGTCACACGATATCATGTACTATTGATACCTGTTAGGGTAAGTTGAATCAAAGCTTCTCGTACGTTGCCTATAGATCCCCATCAGGTTAACTCTCGTCAGATTTACTTAGCAAGAACCCAAAGTTGCCTACAGACCCTTCTTATGGTCACTTGTACAAGAATTCTTTGACAAGACCCTAAACCCTAAACCCCTAAACCTGAAACCCTATACCCTGAAACCCTACATCCAAAAACCCTGAAACCCTAAACCCACCAGAACCCAAGCTCTTCCAGGCCAAGGGTCATGGTTCGATCCACTCCTTCGGAGTCGCTCCTGAGCAGAAAATCCATGGCTTTGCTTTTTGTAGAGTTTCAGATGGGAGTATCCGTCAATTGGGCGTACCTTATTTGGGGTCCTTATCATAAGGATCCTACCCTAATACTGTATTAGGGTCCCCTGTTTTCGGAGACCCTTAGGTAGGGTTGTTTGAATTAGGGATCCTTATGCAGGGGCTGGGGGTTAGGGTTGATTCTAGGATTCCACATATCAATTGAGCGCTAAAGCGCTCATAAGGTCGGTTTCTGTGGTGTTACGCAAGGGCCGTGATGTAGATTCGAATCGGCTTTGATAGGGAATGATGGACTTAGGTTTGGCACTTCGGATCTGGAAAATTGAATCTTGTTAGGAAGAGAATTCTCGGCTTGAGGTGTGGCAACACTGATGCCGCGACCCGAAAACCCCGCAAGCAGATCAAGATCCAGGCTCCTAGTTGCCACTCAATGTTCCTTCAGCCCTGAACACACCGAACAGGACCCATTAACCTTGCATCCCACTACAAAACAATGAAACTGAGAGTGAGGATCCCCTAAACCCTAAACCTCTAAGTAGCCATCCCTTTTTTGCATGCCGGCCTATTTCAACTGCCGGGTACCCCTGAAGAAAGGAAACCGCGGCCCTCAGCGAAATCTGAGGGATCTCCGAAAAACCTTAAACCAACTCTAACCCCCTAACCTCTAAACCCTAACCCCCAGCCCCTTAGTAAGCATCACTAATTCAAACAACCCTAAGTAAGAGTCTCCGAAAATTGGGGACCCTAACATAGGACCTTATAAATAGTAGGATCCTTATCATATAAGGACCCCCAAAATAAGGTAATGTAGGAACCTGATGAAGAAACCCGGGGCCTATAATCCAAATTCGTAGGATTCATATAAAGAACCCTAATAAGGGCTCAAGGCTTCTTAATCAGGTTCCTACATTACCAGGACAGTCTCAGGGGTTTGGGGCTCAGTGTTTAGGGCCAACATGAGGGGTCACGAATTACCCACATTTCCCAAACAGGACCAAGCCGAAGGGCACGGAGGCCACCGCACGCGACCAGCGCTCTCGCGCCTGGCAAGACAAGGATCTCCTACCCGATTCTGTCTGGTGCTTACTAGGGAATGGGGTAATGGATCCCTATGCTAGTCCCGTAAGGGTCACTTATTTATAGTAGTCCCTATAACCAATCCCCCCATTCCCTAGACGATTATAGGGTCGATGTATGAAGGGTTTGGGGATGGTTTAGGGTTTCGGCTTGGGGCCATAGCCTTGAAACTAACTTGGATTGAAGTATACTACGATTCTCAAGGGATTCTACTATATAAGGCAACTATACTTATAATTACTTATAACCCCAATTGAGGTACTTATAACCTATATACTACTTCACATGTTCAAGCCTTCATATCCAGACTCCAGAGCCCCCAATTCTACATCCCCTCACACCCACATCCTTCTTGTCCCGCTGGTAAGGCCCCTCAAGGCTTCAACGTGAACCTCCTCACTTACGTTTGGTTGGTAGGGAATGGAAGAATGGTAGTAATAGTAGTTATAATTGTACCCCATCCTCCATTCCCTACTAACCAAAGGTAAGCTCACCCAAACTCCATGATGCTTTGGACCTGCTCGGCCCAGAGCCTTCAACCCACACCAAACACTTGGGGGTCAGTGAGGTTTCCATGACCTACGTACTGATTGCACCCCAAACGGCAAAGTAGGGCAATCCCACTCGAAGCTACTTGGCCCCGTGCCTGCACGTTGCTGGCGCCCAGGCCCTTCGTGACAGGAAGGATTTGGGGCGTGTCGAAACTAAAGGGGCCGCAAACTTCCTAAAAAGAGGGAGCCCTAAAGAAGGTACCCCAATGTTAAGAAGCTCCATGTGGGGGCCGACGGGGACACAACGATCAAAGGCTTTGTAACATAGCGTGCAATATTCAGAGCATCTGCCTTCCATACCTTAGGGGAATATAAGCGTCGTAATAATTGGAACAGGGTTTAAGGGTAGATTATATTACAACTTTTGACATAGGCTTGACTGGAGCTCGCCCGGTAATATTGTCGTATCATCACCAACTGAGGAACCCCAGCTCGGGAATTAGTTGTGCTACTGACTCACGCTTCTGTATTATTTGAGGTGTTCTGGATCTCCAGCAGTTCAAGTTCTTGGTTTGGAAGTTGGCTCCCGAGCCTCTGAAACATCAGAACTCTTCGGCTTGCCCTGAAAGACTTGAAGATCCAAAAGGGGCGCAGGGGCAGTCGCAATGCAACACATCAACATGTAGCGTCTTGAGCGGGTTTCTCATGAACCCTTAGCTCCCGCCCACCCGCCCCCACCCATGCTACGTTCTAACACCTTAAGGCTTCCACCTCAAGCCCTCAACTTTGGAAGTTTACGAGTTTCGAAATGTTGATACCGAAACCCCCCCGCGCCTTCGTCGGCTTCTTGTTCCCTCGGAGCTCCTGCCTCTGGAAAGCGAACCGACTATGACGCTGGTTAAAGTCCCATAAGCTAGAGCTCCGGAGTCCTTTCCTGACTTGTAAAGAAAAGGGGCCTCAAAATAATTTGAATAGGGGTTTGGGGCCCAGTATACTGTAACTTTCATAAGGACCCCCCCCCCAAAAAAAAAAAAATGTCCAGGCCCCTCTCTAGTATATGTGTCACAGGGCGGGGTTTAGGGGCCGGTGTCTACCCCTTCATGTCATCCAGCAAGAAGAACACTGAACTTTCGACTGAAGCTGTTGATGCCCGTTTCTGAAAAAGAGAAAGATCCGAAATCCAAAACTAGAGACCTGAGCCCTTGACCTTGGAAAACCCAATGCCTAAAAACTCAATCCTGCACAGAAACGCAAGGAACGCTCCCTTGCCTTTCTGGTTCGTGGCAAGGAATGGGGGAATGGATCTCTATCAGAGTCCCTTGAGGTCCCTTCTAGTAATCTCTTTTTCAGCCCACTCCAGCACTCCCTACTGAGATCCATATCCAAGGAGTTCTTTGCACACCCTGAACCCAGAACCTTAAACCCAAATCCCAAACCTCAAAACCCCAACCCCTAACCCTACACCCTCAACCCTGAAACCCGGACCCTAAACCCGGGTTCTAAACGCCCTAAGCACACCAAATGCCCCAACATAGGGGCCTTAATAATGGAATAGGGTATTATTGGGGCCGATTATACTATAGTTATAATAAGGAACTCCCAAAATATTATTGAGGCCCTTATATTACGAACTTCTGGGAGTTGCAGCCGCGAAGCTGTCGAGACAGCAGCTCCGGCAGTCCTCAGGCTCGGGTCTTTGGAGGACCTAAGCCTTGCCAAAGGCCCCAAAGTAGTTCCGTTTTGGGGTTCATATTTAGAACTCTAGAAGGTAATCCTCAAAAAGGAACTGTTTTGGGCCTATGGGTAGACTCGGGTCCCTTCAAGGGCCCTTGAATAAAACTTGATTAGAAGGCGGCACTTTTCGGGATGGAAAGGTTCTAGCGTACGGGGTCTTGATATTTCGATATATGGCTTCGGGGTATATATATATATACGATATAGATAGATGTCACATACATAGTTTACTTATGTTAAGGACTTCAAGGGGGGTAACCTGACTAATCGTACGGCAGAAGGCTTCGGAGCACGAGTTCCGGTGATGTCGAGTTTGGGCTTCGCGCTTTGGGAATCACGAGTAAACGTTGTAGGGCTCAGCATTGGGCCCAAGAGTCTGAGGAGTTGAGGGTTCACGGTTTGAGGCATGGTCACATGTTGTAAGGTTTCCTTCGACCCTAGAAAGTACTCAAACCCACCAGTCCTACACAACACGCAGCCGGGGTTGGTTTCGGGGCCACGGATCCTATTGTATTGGGTAGTTTGCCAGATCTTGAGATGAATCCAAAAACCTCATTCAGCTGTCTGTTTCCATGCTGCACGCATCCATTGAGACCACAGCCCTGAAACCGAAACCCCCCGCGCAAAGCCCTGGAAGCTTGAGGCAAAGGGCGCGAAGCTGGTATGATTCGCTTCTTCCATACCTAGGAAGAGGGGTTTCGGAAGACGAGGGACCCTAAATGGAATATGGGTTAGTCAAAATTGATAGGATGGTGGGGAATGATCATTGCGGTCGATGTGTTGTACCAAGGAGCAAGGAGTACTGGTGGCGATGTTTCAGGCCAATGTTTTACATCTTGTAAGCCCTATGCCTTGGATGCAATGTGCCCTGGTGTACCCGTGATATACTGACAATTGCAGCTATGTGGGTCATGTTGAAACGTAGGGTAAGCATCCGGATCCTGGCAGTTCGTTTCCTGGCTTGAGGCGCAAAGGTCACCTGGTTCTGGACCATCAAACTTCAGGAGGAACACCTACAGCCGAAAGCTGGCCCTACGACAACCGCAACTACGCCTGCTACGAGTACTGAAGAATTCGGGTTTGGGTAATAAGTGCATGTCGCCAATGTCCGTTTGGCGCTGAGGCCAACTGACTGGGTAGTCGTTTTGTTCACGTTGAGGGGGGGTCGAGTGAGTGAGGACATGCTAGGAACATTGAGTGGCTACAACGTTCAGATACTTGAAACATGGCACCCCAATCAACCATGGGCATGGGCTGCCCGGAACATCCCTCGAAATCCTCTGCTAAGAGACGAGATCGTCGTTCATCAACATCTCCTTTGTAAGACGCGGCGTGCGAAGGTGGGAACCTCGCAGTCGCGCTTGATTGCAGGTTTCTAGGCCTGCGGTCCTGGCCTGGAAGCCGGCTGAGATAGAAAGGAGCCACCATGTCAAACTTAATAACTTGCACCCGAGTGGACCCTGCATGTAGAACGCATGGGGAGGGTATCCTGGAAATAAATCTCCCAATAACACGGTACAAGAGCAAGTTAACGCTTTGGACTATATCGAAGTCGAAAAGCTCAAGGTTGGCTATCGGAGGACGAGTGTAGTAATGGGGATCCGAATATGAAGGCCAGTTAACAAATTCAATGAGCATCATGCGCAGACCACATGTCAAATGCAAACCTTACTTTACTAGACTCCTTCCTGTAGATCAAGGGAGCGGTGTCAACCCTAAGCCCTGAGCCGTAAGACGTCCAGGACCCGAAGAATCAAACCGTTCCATTAGACCGGGGTTTAGGATGTGAGGTGTAGCGTTCCCTCTGATTTCTGCTCGCCTTCCGCGCCGGCGCGACTAGTAGCGGTGCTTTGCCCATCATCCTCGTGAAGGTCCCGTACTTAGCCCCCAGATTTATTTCTTCTAATAAGGGTTCTACAAGAGGGCTACAGGGTTTGTGGTTCGCACACTCGTTGTACTCGGGCTTCACACTGGGTTTTTGTACGACACGACATCTCAAGGAGCTTGGGCATGGGCCTGCAAACACAAAGCCCAATACCAGGGTGGTTGCCAAAATTAGGGTCCCTTTTTGGGTCCTTAACATAATACGGCACCTATTATTTAGGATACCCAAATTTGACAACCACCCAACAATGAAGGAAAGCTTGCTTCCCTAAGCTACCCCGGTTTCAGCGTGTCTCGGACTAAGCGAGCTCAGGCTTCTTAATGCTGTTGAGGGTTTCGGCGCTCACACTCGGACAATCCAGGCGAGGCATATGAGGGTTTAGGGTTCTGGAAGTTCTCGGCTTTTCGTGTTGGAGGCCACGTTCCGATGCCGATTCGGCGAACATCAGGCTTGCAACTGTGCAGTCGGCAGCGGGTAGCTCGGCAGGTAAAACCTGCTAAGACAAGCAAGTAGCTGCTAGCTCCCGGGATCCCGAAGCAGAAAAATAAGAAATGCGATATTACTTCCAACATTCAAGCCAGTTTTTCTTCACCCTTCCCCAAAAGATTCCGATCCGGAATGCTGAGCCGGATACCCTGCCACGGCACAAAGACTCCCAGCACCCCGCGCCCTGGCTCCTCTAGGACTTCGAAGCCTCGTGTCCACTCGTCATGGCATGCCTTGTCCGATGTTTGAGCTGATCGGAACATGTTCGCGTTAGGGTTGTTGGTGGCTTCGGAAGTGTTTGGCAAGTCGGATCGGAATAATTTGGGAACAGAGGGGGTGATAGAAGCATGCTAACCAAGACGAACTACTGCTAAAGATCCCGGATGGGCATCCTTACACGAAGTCTTTTGTTGAAGGGTAGTTTCAATACAGCAGGAAATGCTCAGGAAGACGAAGAGCCCTCCGGCCCTCGAAGCAGAAACGCTCAATCCGCAGAAATGCATACTATAGGGGCATTGATAATTAGAAGAAGGTTTTGGGGTCCATTTAACTATAAGTGTAAGAAGGAACCCGCAAAATAGTATCTGTCATTTTTTAACCCCTATACTACTAGACTACACTTTCAGGCCGAAAGCTGTGCTGACCCTCAAGGCTTCCCATGGTGCCATGGTGCCTCGATCCGGTATGATCCGGTCGTACACCGGCTCTCTATGTGTTCTGTCGGGATTCTGTCGGAAGCCAAGATAAGTTTAGCCTGCTAGATTGAAGGGGGTTGACTAAATCGGCTACCACGATTTTTACTGGGTTCGGCTGGAGGACGGAAATATGTTCCATGCAAGACTGGCCAGGCTCCGAGACCTGAAAGCCTTTCTCCGTAATTCTTAAGCCCCTGAATCTGCTGCTGTACAGATACAACTCCAGCAGTAAAGGGCTCCGGGTTTCAGTACTCGAAAGGCTGAACCAGCTTGCCTGGCCTCTTCGATGGCAACTAGATCATCGTCATCGTCAGTGTCATGGGCAGATGGCCTGCGGCATCATGGCTCTTGGCGGATCTTGGATGTCTCATGCGGCACATGTGGGCTCGCGTCGGTGCGGGTGCTTTGTTGCCAGACGGCTCTGAATCCTTAAGTGTTTGTGTCGCAGTAATTAATGACTTCATAAAAACATGGTGACACATTTTCCTTCGTTATGGTAACTTGCGTTATTCTGTTTCGCAGCAGGAACCCAGCTTAGGAAGCCTTTGTTCAACTTGTCCTTGTGACTTCTGGAGCCCTCGCCTGAAACTCTGTGACCTTAACCGTATCCATGCCCACATATTGTACATAAGTGAGGCTCATGTCGGAGCCCACTGGAAGCCGAAGTACATGTCATGTCGGTACATGGACCCTTGGCTAAGAGAAAGACTTCCGTGCAACCAGACGCACAATACCCAAACCCACTAAGCCCACACCTCCTCGGGTTTTCGGGTTTCGGGGTTTGACAGAAACCGAGAAACCGTGACCAGCACGAAGCTGTTTACTAAACCCACCCACCGGGGTCACCACCGTGGCCCTCAACCCTACAAATCATCAACAGTGTATCCTACGGGGTCCTGCGCCTTCAAAGTAGCAGCCTCGAATGCCCAAACCACGAGTCCTGAACCTGGGCAGCCAAGCCTTGTAGTACTACATGTTGGTACTTCACCATACATCCTCAGCCGCCTCTCAATCATGAAAACATGCGGCCCTACCTAGACCCTAAACCCTGTCGCACAGCTCCAGCAATGACATGCTTCAAATCCACCAAAACCCTTGTCTAGCTACTATTGCCTCCACCCGTATGTTGCAGACTCACTTTCGGAACTCCGTCCTCACTTCAACACGGCATCGCGCCGGCTGCTGTGGCAAAGGCGACAACGGCACCTGAAGCAAAGAACCACACCATCGTCAGGATTTAGGGTTCAAGGGCTCAGCAACAGGCTTGAAGCATCAGCACACTTGATATGCTGAGCAAGTCCGCTTCTCTGGCACGCACATTCTGCAGCCAATCCATCGGGCTTGAGAGCGTAGAGTGAAATTATCAGGCTGAATTCAAAACCACCGGTGAAACACGAGCAATAGTAATCCAGCTGGCTGAAGTAATGCTAGGGGTGAGGGGTCAATTGGGAGTTCGTGGTTTCCCGGGTGCTCATGGTCAAAACGGTTGTGGAGTTCGCTAACCCCGTCGAGAGCAGGAACCTAGTTCGACCTAGTTGTTGCTTTCTCCCGCCCCGAACACGTTGGCATGTGAACCGCGGTTAACCATGGGAGGGCAGTACCTGACTAAGTCTAGCGGCAAATTATGATGGCTGTCTGTGCGGGCCGGAAAGTTCTGGGTTCCTCCATTCTTTGCCATTTCGGCAGAGTGTCGGGTTTTCGGTTGCTTCCGTTCTCGTTTCGGGGGCCTTGAAGTGTGGGTTGAGGCTTGAAGCTTTTTCAGATTCGGGTTCCATGTCATGTTCAAGCCTCCGCAGGAGTGGAAAACACTACAAGGAGAACTGCAGAACGGAATGGAAGCGATTTTGACGAAGGACCCTTGGAGGAAGCCTCGAGATCGGGCAAACAGAAGAAGTACAGTTGTAGAGGAGCGGTCGCCGGACTCATAAGAGCAATATTCCAACAACGGTCCTTCACATCCCTTACAGCTACAAAGTATCAATGTCCTCTACGTAGCGACGAAGTGTCGAGTGCAAGCTTTTGTGCCGAGCCACACAGCTGGCCAGTGCGTCTTCGAGTACTGACATGGAAGCACCATAAGGCCGAAGAGCCCCAACAAGGAGTCCCTCCTTTCGGATTCTTTGGGGCCTACCAGACCTAAAAATCCTTGCAAGCATCTCCTCTAGTAGCACTCTATATAATCCTTTTTCGTAGGCTTGAAAAAGGGTCATGCAGCCTATCATCTCGTAGTTGAGGATCCCTCCCTCCGCAAAACCTAGGCAATACAATTGTATTCCCGAAGAAAGAGAAAGCTTTAGCGGAACACACCTGATCGTAACACCCGCATCTCCTTTGTCCCAGTTTTCACAAACAAGTCTTCTCCCCGTCCCCTTCTCAAAGCTACGAAAGGGAAGGCAGCTGACGGCACAGTGCGCGGTCTTCACCTCGGAAATCCCCAGCGGCTCAGGGTGGAAGCAACGTCGGTTGCAAGCTTGTGCTGGATCCACCATTTCCCAAGCGGGACTGTGCTCAAGGAAATACTGAACCCGCGATATTGGATCTATACAAAGGTCCTTTACTTCTAAGACCTATCCTTTGAGATGAGCCGCAATAAGAAGCCCTCAATATAGAAGCACACCCAAATGGAACAGGGTAGGGAGTGCTGAGGCCGAAAGAAAAGAAGCATGCTGTTACCAGGTGATGGCCGTTGCTGTAGTTACCATGGCATGTGATAAACCTTTGGCCCTGCCACAAACAACGGCAGCAAATTTCGTCATCAGCGATGCCATCTGCCCCCAGCGTCACCATCTCTGTCACCGATATTGTTTGTCGACATAGCCATCAATAAGCAGCGGCGGCAGCAGCAGCACGAGTAGTGGCAGCATGTGGCTAGCATGGGTGGTGCAGATAGGACAAGCCCCCTATTAACTTACAATGATCAGCAATGAGTTGTTCAGGGCCTAGCGCTCGCTTTTTTATAAACAGATGGCACCCTCGTGTTGTAATTGTATGTGAAGTTCTCATGGCCGTATGTCTCCCTGCTTGTCCCTCACCACACCCGTTCTCCAGTCTTGCCAACAAAGCTGCGCTTGTGGCCCGCCGCTGGGGAGATCAAAAAGTCTTCAAGGCCAAAATGGCTGTGGGGACGGACTGCGCATATTGCGAGCATTCAGCCCCAAACCCTGTAGCCCCGGAAGCACTAAACCGTACAACTCCAAAGTCCTAAAGCTACAAAGTTGAAGGTTGTCCAACCTGGGCTGAACATCGT